ACGGAGCAGTTTCACTGTCCTAAAAATTCTCTGTGCTTCACCTTTTCATCTCCCTCCTCTCTAGCATCTGGCAACCACTATTCTTTTTACTGTCCTCCTAATTTTGCCTTTTCCATAATGTACTATATGCAATAGGTAGCCTTTTCTCTTGCATGGTTTCTTGTTTTTGTTTTGCAACAGGGTCTCACTATGTAGTCCAGGCTGACTTGGAACTAACAGTCCTCCTACCTCTACCTCCAAAGAGCTGGGACTATAGATGTGTGCCACCACACCTCTAAAAGATTATGGTTCCTTTTTTTTTTATGGTTCTGGGGAATGAGCCCAGGCTCTTGAGCGTGCTAACCAAGCACTGTTCTAAGCTACGTCCCCAACCCTTTGTAGCCTTTTCAAATTGGCTTCTTTCACTTAGTAATATGCATTTAGGGTTCTATGTTTTTTATGGCTTAATAGTTCATTTCTTTTTAGTACTGAATAATAATCCATTGTCTAGGTGTGCCATAGTTCATTTATCTATTCACTCACTGAAGGACATTTTGGTTGCTTCCATATTTTGGCAATTATGAATAAAACTTCTATAAACATCTGTGTTTGGTTTTTTGTGTGAACATCAGTTTTCAGTTTTTTTGGTTAAATACAAAGGATACAATTGCTGGATTGTATGGTAAGAATAGGTTTAGTTTTGTAAGAAACTGTCATCCAAAGTGGCTATAGAATTTTACTTTCCCACCAGCAATAAATAAGAATTCGGTTGCTTCACATGCTCTTCAACATTTGGTGTGGTTGGTGTCCTGCATTTTGGCATTCTGATAGGTGTATGAATTTTTTTTTTCTTTTTTTTTTTGAGACAGGGCCTCACTACATAGCTTGGGCTGACCTCCAGCACATGATCGTCCTGACCCCACCCCTGAATACAGGAATACAGTGGCACGCATGGCTGTAGATAATTTTTTTTTAGGTACTGGGACTTGAACTCAGGGCCTTCACCTTGAGCCACTCCACCAGCCCTATTTTTGTGAAGGGTTTTTTGAGATAGGGTCTTGTGGAACTATTTGCCTGGGCTGACTTCAAACAATGATCCTCCTGATCTGTCTTCTGAATAGCTAGGATTATAGGCATGAGCCACGGGTGCCCAGCTATAGATAATTTTTTAAAGGAAATTTTCAGTTAGTTGTTTGCATAAAGATCCAAATAAAGTCCACATATTGAAATTGGTTCATTGTGTCCTTTAATCTACCTGATTCCTTTTGGTAGAAAATGTTATTTTGAGAGACCACAATCTAGGTGCTAATGATACTCATGGCTGCTGGTTGATCATTTTCTCTTGGCCTTTTGAGAGGTCAGAGTCTGGATTTTGCTGATAGTACTCCCATGGTATTTTCTGTGGAACTCTGTTTTATGGTATTTTCACTAAATTGGTTATTTGGGTTTAGAGGCTTGGTCAGATTCAGGGATAATTTATTTGGTAAGATTACCTCATGTCCCATAATGTCTCTCTTTTGTGATGTTATCAGTCAGTGAAAATCTATGCAAACCATTAGGGTTTGCAAAATGGTGATATTCAATTCTTCATTCCCCCTCCTTTTTAAAAAGTCATTCCTTTTTCATTTATTTTCTTCCGTCATAAACTTGTCCCATTTACTCCATGTACATAAGTGGGAAAGCCCAGATAAATTATTAGTTTTCAATATGATGAATTGGCTTGTTAGCATTATCATCCAATGGTAATGATAAAATTGGTTAAAAATTTTTTGGTGTGTGTGTGCTGGGAGTAGAACCCAAGGCCTTGCTCTTGCTAAGCAAGCAGTCTACCACTGTAGAAGAAGGCATACCACTGTGCTATGCTTTCAGGCCCCTGTTAATTTGTAAAGTGGTATAAGCTCATAGAGCTTAGCATATTTGATATATTCAAATTCTTGAAGGTATTACTCACTGATGCTTGGATTATCCTCTTGAAGATATTACTTACTGATGCTTGGATTGTCCTCTTGTTGGCAAGGGTCCAATCTAAGTTGCTCCTGAAGGCTTTAGATATGATTCTAATTGTCTTTGAGCCCTTCCTTACTATGTGATATGACAAGATGTTTGTAGACACATCTAGTACACTTCCTGACTCAGCCCTGTGATCACCCATTTTTCCAAGGAACTCTGATTTCTTTTAGTAGAGACCACATCCAGGTGCTCGTGGTACTCATTGCTACTAGTTGATCATATGTTTTAGGCCTTTTGAAAGGACAGAGCTAAAAAATATAAGCTTATTAATTTAAAAACAAGGATAAAAGTACATCATATTCTTTTTGATACTTCCAATTCAAATTTAGGACTATGTGGCTTTTACTTCTATCTTAGAACTGTGTCTCCTTTCTCCTCTATTGAGAATTCTCACTGAGATTCTCGACAACACTAGGTATGACAGAATAAGTTCACATAGTCAGTCATCTGTTATATCTCACAATACACAATGGTCTCAGGTAACCAACACCAGTACTATAACCAACAAAATGATAGCTGAAAAGCAGGTTTTTTTGCTTGTTTATTTTTGTTTTTTTGTCCTTAGAGTGTATAGTACTGAGGGTGTTCAGTCAGTTTATTATATTTTCGCTTTTGTTTGAATTGAACTGGCACATACCAGGCAAGTACTCCACCACTGAACCACATTCCCATCCCAGTTTATGATATTATTTAGAATAATTTCTCTTGGAATAATTATACCATCAATTTGAAAACATTTGTTTTCATTTTTTTATTTTTGGGAATTGCTCTTTAAATTCTAACTTTGTTATAAAATTATGTAAAAATATTTACAAAATAAGGTAATTCAAAGAAGTCTAGTCTGTCCTTGTCTCTTCTATCTTATTCTCTACCTTCTCCACAGGTAGCTATTTAAAAAAAAAAACCTCTCATAGTTTATTCTTCTTTATTTTAAGTATAAACTGGTATTTATATTCCAACATCCTTTCTTAGATAAAAGGCAGTGAATTATATGGTTTTTCCACCTTACTTTAAAAACTTAATATTATATCTTGGAGAGTTTCCCATGGTGATAATAGTATGTGTTTTAAATATATCTATAAACTAAATCAGTTAAATACTCTAAGTAGACATTTGACTATCCTATCTATTTCCCTAAATTTTTATTTAGGCTAACCTCAAAACTTTTTTTGTGTGTGTATGGGAGGCTGTACTAGAGTTTTGCCAGGCAGGAGCTCTACCACTTGAGCCATTCCCGCAGTCTCTTTTGCTCTGGTTATTTTTGAGGTAGGGTCTCACTTTATGCCCTGGTCGGCCTGGACCACGATCCTCCTATTTACACTTCCTGCCCATAGCTGGTATGATAGGCACATACTCCCACCCCATCTTTTATTGGTTGAGATGGGCTCTCCTCAAACCTTGATCCTTTTCATCTCTACCTGGAGAGTAACTGGGATTACAGGCTTGAATCATTACCCTCTGCCCTTAAAAACCCTTTTTAAAATTTTCCCACTGGAAAAATACATTGCCTGGGTTTAGTGGGTTTGGGGCGGGGGACATAGATGATAACTATAAAATAATAACATTGAAACAGAAAGCTGGAAATTTGAGCAGAACCTGGAAGGAAAGTGTAGACTTAGTGTGCTGGGGAGCTTGTTTCATGATTAGATGACCTGAGCAAAGGCATGAAGGTGGGATTGTGCACAGTGCCCCAGGGATAATACAGCTTGGCCGGAGTCACAGATTTTGAAAAGGAGTCACAGATTTGAAAAGGAAACAGATTAGTTGAGCAGTTGGTTTTGTTTTTGTTTTTTAACCATTCAAGGTCTTGTGAGGGTATTAATAAGATAGGTGCTATTATATTCATTTTTTAAAACAAAGACTTATTGAGTACCTATGTGAAAAAACCTCTGTGCTTGGTGCTGGGGTATAATGTTGTAGAAGATGCATATAGTCCCTCCTCAAGGAGCAGAAAGAGATGTTGCATTACTGAGGAGAATTGCAGTGTGCTACCAGGCCATATAAATGGAGGGAGATAGCTTAGTTTGGAAGTAGGGACAGTGAGGGAAGTCTTCCAAGGAAGTACATTTAGGCTGAGATCTAGGAGATGGTGAAGAAGTGTTAGCTGCCAGTAGGGGGTAGGAGCGGCAGGGAGAGAGTGGCATTTCCAGGTAGAGAGTAGTACTCAGTGAAGAAGGTGGGTGGGGTATTAGCACTGAAACATGCCCAGTTTGATTTAAAGGGCTGGACAGTGTGGAGTAAAGTGAGTGAGAGATGAAAGTGAATTTGAGAGAAATTGCAAAGGAGGACTTGGTAATAAAAGGGAACTCACTCCCGAAGACATATGGTAGGCACTAAATACATGTAAAATGGATAAATGAATAAGTTGAAATTTCAAATATGAGCTAAGAAATGATGGTGCCATGACTAGGCATAATTAAATAAGTACAGGGTGCTGTATTTGGAAAGAAGTTTAGTTCAGTTTCAAACACATGGATTTTGGGGTATAGTATAAGTACTAAGCCATTAAACTTCATGCTGCAGATGAAATTGTAAGACTCCAGGGAGGGAAACAAAGGGTTGAGAGCTCCTCCCTGGGAATTACAGTTAGATGATGAGCCTTTAGAAGATGAACCTTAGGACAAGAGAGGAGACAGTGTAGCACTCAAGGAGGTCAAGGAGAATGGTCTACATCAAATGAGGCAACAGGCTTGGCAGCATTTGCAAAGTGCCAATTCATTGTACAGATTATAGGTAGAGTAGAGAGGTGACAAAGACACAGGATCTGCAGTCACAGGACTGCAGATTTAGGGCTCAGGTTTAGCTCTACCTTTTACCAGAGTTGTGGCCTTGGACCATAATTATTTAAAGTTCTTTGGGTCTCAGGTGCTCATTTATAAAATGAAAAAAGAGAATGGCTGCATATTTGTATCTCAAAGTTATTGTGAGGTTCAAATTTTTAAAATGCACTTAAGTGTTTGAGTGAATGTATGTGCACTGCTGTGAGTAATTGCTTATTTGTGTTTAAACAGAGACCAGATGAAGAAGCTGTGGTGGATCAGGGTGGGACCAGTACAATTCTCAATATCCATTATGAGAAAGAAGAGTTAGAAGGTAAGAACCACTGTTTTGTGTGACAATGACAGGAAATTTGGCAAGAGGTTGCCTAGTGTGGGAAGAATAGACTTGGCTTTGCCTTCTGAGACCTGGGTATGAGTCCTAACTTTTTCTCAGTAGCTGTGAGATCCTGGAGAGAAAATTACTTCATTTCCTTTAGCTTCATCTTCCTCATCTGTTAAATGAGAGTGGAGGTAAAAATAGTACCCAACCTACCTGACAAGGATATCATTAGAGTGTAAAGGAGGGCTTATGAATGACACAGTACTTTGAGCACTATAAAATTCAGCATAAATATTAACAGCCTATTCCTTGAGAATGCAAAGTACTCAGTTCAGCTCATTGATTCTGCCTGAAAATGCAAAAATTTAAAATAAAATAAAATAAAATATAAATGTTTTTAAAAACTCATTTGGTTATAAAACCCTCTTTTTACTCATTTCCAATACTTGCTTTTCCTATTCTAACTATACCCATTTCTGTCTGGTGTTTTCACTTAAACAAGAAAAGGAAAAAACAGGAGCTCATCTGTAACGTATTCTCTGAGTTCACAGCACAAAGTTATATAAAAATCTAACTCATGTAGAAGGAAGGAAGAGGCATTTTTGTTGACTGGCTCTATCTAATTTACTCTTATTTTCTTTGCTGCCCACTCCCAGCTCCCCAAGTAACCATGTGTGGTGTCCTTCTGCTTTCCTTTCTCCCAGGTGACCTAGCTGGAGTGTTAGCAGTTGTTAGCAGTCACATTTAGCCATCGTTCCTGATTAATGGTGACTTTTAGCTTTCCTAGAGGAAGGCTTAGGTCCACTGTAGCTTTAATGAGAAGCCACGTGTAGCTCAGAAGCCTTTGTGAATATCTGCACATCCCCTGCACAGTTGAAGGCTGTGACACAGCAACTTTGGGATGCCTGAGACAGCATGTGAAATGTTCTGTCGGTACTGCTTGTTCCTGCAATGGGTTTAGCATCAAAGTTGTGCAACCCCCAGAGAAAACTTGGCCTTTAGATGGGGGAGAGAATGAAAGCTGTACAGGCTGACTCAGCTTCTGGGTCTGTTACCATGAGAACTTATGTGGGTGGCTCTATAGAGGTCAGTGGTGTTTGGCAATGTCAAGGTCAAGTCTTCCAAGTTATTTTGACCAGATGGATGAAGAGCCAAGGTGGGTTTTAGCAAATGGGAGAAAGTGGGAGAAGGAAAGCGTGTAGAGCAGGAGGCTACTGTTTGTTGAATGTCCTTTGTGTAGTAGGAATCAGTTTAGGTGCTTTATGCAAGTTGTCTTTTTTTGTCTTCCTAGTACCCCTGGTAGTTTAAGGTATCCTGCCTTTTTACATGTGGTGAAACTGCCTGGGGGTCATTTAGCCTAACAGTAGGGAGATGGGATAGAATCCTGATCTTTTCATACTACCATACTGCTTCCAAGGCAGGACAGTATCCAACATTACCCATTCAACCATCACATGCACATTTCTCTTCCTGCCTCCTCTTCCGCTCTAATAATTCTGTTGACTCTTTATCATCCCATTACACCTTCGGGGCACATTGTTATCAGTTTAGTTGTCCTCTAGCAATCATCCACTGAACCTTTGCTCTCAGCAAAGAGGTAAACATTTATGAACACTCTCATCTACTTGGAAGTAGAATAATGCAGCTGAGCAACCTCTCTTTGGTCCTGAGGACTAGGTTTCATCCACAGAGGTCAGCTGAGGAACTGACAGGAGGAGCAGCATCTCCAGATGACATCATCCTTTCCATATGCATGCTCTACTTTGCTGGAAAAGAAATCTGCATAATGATAATGACATTACTGGAGGACAGTGTGTTGGGAAGTGTTCCTTTATGCATAGATCTTTCTGCAAACTACTATCTTTTCTGTGTTAGCATTTTTTAAAAATAAAAATACTATAGGCAAATAGAAGACAAAAAATGGTGCCCATGCTCCAGGCCTGATAAGGTTTAAGAGCAGCTCTGGAGAAGAGAGGAGTAAATTGGAATTTATTGTAAGATTAACTATGTTGTGAGTTCTACCCTAACTCACTCTGAAGTGCAACTGTAGGACTCAGGCTACATGCGGGGTGGTGGTGTTTCTCTCTTTTCTTTTCCTCCCACCCCCTGCCCTCTGGTGTCTCTTGAAGGCACAGAATAAAACCAGTCCCACTTTGATGGAAGATAGAAGTAAATTGTGTTCTGATTTAGTGATACACATGCCATGATATAAGGTTCTGTGGCTACAGAGAAATCTTTGGATCTTCTCCCCTCTTTATTCATATCTGCTACCCACATGACATAAACCATTCTCTACCCCATTTTCAGAACAATGGCTGAGATTTACTGTCTAGACATTGTTAAAGGCTTTGTAAATATAGATATTTTTGCATAAGCTAATTCTATCAGTAAGAGAAGGTGCATGACAGCAACTAAGAGATAGCATAGATAAATGGGACTTCATAAAACTAAAAAGCTTCTGCTCAACAAAAGAAATGGTCTCTAAACTGAAAAGAACACCCACAGAGTGGGAGAAAATATTTGCCAGCTACACATCAGACAAAGGACCGATAACCAGAATATATAGGGAACTTAAAAAACTAAATTCTCCTAAAACTAATGAACCAATAAAGAAATGGGCAAGTGAACTAAACAGAACTTTCTCAAAAGAAGAAATTCAAATGAAACACATGAAAAAATGCTCACCATCTCTAGCAGTAAAGGAAATGCAAATTAAAACCACACTAAGATTCCACCTCACCCCTGTTAGAATAGCCATCATTAGCAACACCACCAACAACAGGTGTTGGCAAGGATGGGGGGGGGGGGGAAAGGAACCATCTACACTGCTGGTGGGAATGTAAACTAGTACAACCACTCTGGAAAAAAATTTGGAGGCTACTTAAAAAGCTAAACATTGATCTACCATTTGATCCAGCAATACCACTCTTGGGGATATACCCAAAAGACTGTGTGTGACACAGGTTACTCCAGAGGCACCTGCACACCCATGTTTATTGCGGCACTATTCACAATAGCCAAGTTATGGAAACAGCCAAGATGCCCCACTACTGACAAATGGATTAAGAAAATGTGGTATCTATACACAATGGAATTTTATGCAGCCATGAAGAAGAACGAAATGTTATCATTCGCTGGTAAATGGATGGAATTGGAGAACATCATTCTGAGTGAGGTTAGCCTGGCCCAAAAGACCAAAAATTGTATGTTCTCCCCCACATGCGGACATTAGATCAAGGGCAAACACAACAAGGGGATTGGACTTTGATCACATGATAAAAGCTTTAGCACACAAGGGAGATATGAGGATAGGTAAGACACCTAAAAAACTAGATAGCATTTTTTGCCGTCAATGCAGAGAAACTAAAGCAGATACTTTAAAGCAACTGAGGCCAATAGGAGAAGGGGACCAGGAACTAGAGAAAAGTTTAGATCAAGAAGAATTAACCTAGAAGGTAACACACATGCACAGGAAATTAATGTGAGTCAACTCCCTGTATGGCTATTCTTATCTCAACTAGCAAAAACTCTTGGTCCTTCCTATTATTGCTTATACTCTCTCTTCAACAAAATTAGAGATAAGGGCAAAATAGTTTCTGCTAGGTATGGAGGGGATGGGGGAGAGAGGGAGGTGATGAGGGGGTAGTAAGGGAGGGGGTGGGGGAAGGGGGAAGAAATGACCCAAACATTGTATGCACATATGAATAAAAAAATAAAAAAGAAAAGGTGCATGAAACCATGACATTGGGAAGAATCAAAAGGAAACATTAGAACAATTTTCCAAAGATAAACTGAAGAAAAGCAATAGTCCACTATATGTTTCAGTGGATTCCACTGCTTTTGTTAGAAGAATAGCTTTTTCCATTGTTTTTGGCAGATCATTATTCCTGATTAATTACTAGATTTATGGGTAAATCTAGTAATTTTAATGCCTTCTACTAAGTCTTTAACTGAGACAAGAGTTAAATTTAACTGGAATAAATTTAATGCCTTCTACTAAGTCTTTAAGTGAGACAAGAACCATTTGGTCATCCTTATAATTTGAAAAAAAGAGGGCTTGCATTGGTTCGCATGTTAGATTTCCCCCTGTGGTTACTGACTTTGGGTCAATCTGTAAGCCCAGAGGAGTTGAATATCCTTTAGTATTTGCTAATGAGTTCTGTGTGAGTCCTTAGTAAACAGTATATGTGCACACTGCATTGAACATTATAGGCCATGTCTACCCTATAGCGGGTCACACCTGTGGCTTCTGTCCTCTCCCACAAGATTCAGCGTCAGTTCACTAATGGTTGCTCTGAGTATATATATTTTTAAACTACACAGACATTTCCTCTTTCTTGTAAGTTTTACTAAATTAGAATACTTTATTTGCACACAGATAACCCTAATAGACTAGGTCTGACACTGACTACAAAAGATGAAAGAATTAGCTGGGAAGAAATGATGTTTGGGTAGATAAAGGGGACAGCGACTGGGTAGGAGGGTAGTTGAATGGCTAGCAAAGTGGCCATAGCATTAGTTTGGTGAAATTACTGTGCTGCTAGATCTTAGTTAGATGAACTGGACTTTAGTGGTGCTGTATTAATTTCCTAATGTCTACTTGTTTATCATCTTTTCTGCTAATTTCACAAAGAAAATCCAAATCCCTGCTTCGGAATCCCCAGCTTAGAAACTGATGTCTGATTTTCTGACAGCCACTTGATGCTCCTTAGTTCTGGCTCCTGCTGAGCTTGTTGTCAATTCTGCCTGTCTCTTTGGTGTTTTCAAAATGCAGTCAAAGTCTTCCTTCTCTAAGATGTAAGCTTTAGTTTACTTCCTACAGAACCATCAAAAAGGCATCTGAAAGATGTCTTTCCCAGTATGCCTCAGACTTGCCTAGTGGGAATTTAGATATCAAGCAAAACCATATATTATTTAGTCAGTAAGGACCACAGAAGGGGCTCAGCAATAAGTAAGAATAGTGAGAACAATTGCAGTGCTATGTCATCTGCAAAGAATGACCTAACTTGAACCTTTCCTAGGACTCCAGTATTAGTACCTGACTCACCATCATCTGGATAAGACCTGGGAAATCATTGGGTCCAAACTCCTTGTTTTACTGTATTAGTGACATTGAGTAAATTAGTCAATAAGATGAGACTTAATAACAGATTCTAATGCCCAATTACTGCCTCTTTAATTTCTCTTTAGAATGTAGTTACAATTAAACAGTACTAGCATTCTTCTGGTGTGAGCCTGGTGGAAGTGTTCAGGATGTGTTCGAAGAGTGGAAGTTATAGCTGGCCTCTGGGAGTTTTTAGGAAAGAGGAAACCCATGGTTGAGATGGCTCTAGTAAAGAACTGAAAGTCACCCTCAGTGAGGCTGTTCTTTATTTCCAGCTGGCTGTTTTTATGTCCAGCTCTACCTAGATGCACAGATTTTACAATACTCAGGTCATCATTTTAGGGGTCACTTAAAGAGGTTCTCTCGGATCTAATTATGTATTTCATGGCCCATGTATTCTTCATGGTCTGCACCTGCACCTCCTTTCCTTCCCTTTTCTACTTTACTCTGGCCCTTCTGACTGACTCTTTGCCTTGGAAGCAGCCCCACACATTCCAGCTTAGTGCCTATGCACTCACTCTTCCCTCTTCCTAGAATACTCTTCTCCCACTTCTTCCATGGCCTCCCTTCTCATCATTCAAATGTCCCCTCTAATCATCTTAGTTATCTCTCTTAATTATCCTACCCCATCACACACACTCTAGTACTTTACCTTTGATTCATAAGAGTTATTAATATTTGAAGTGATTTTTTGTTTTTATGATGTCTGTCTTGTCCAACTAGAGTATGTCCTGAAGACTTTGTGCTGTTCACTAGTGTATCCCTGGCACTTGGAACAGGACCTGCACAATTTAATGCCACCTGGGTTGATCTCAGTGATGTATCATAGGGACTTCTTTGGAGTACCATTGTGGAACATTATTAGTTAACAGATGGTACTCAATTCTGTCATTTTCATACTTTAAGGACTTAATAGTTTATACTGATAATATCAGAGGCCTAGAATCCTACATCCTATCAGATGATCTCCTCTAGCTCTTTATTTCTCTTTCTTTGAAGTTGTAAGATGATTATATTAGATTCAGAGATCTGCCTGTGAAAGATGTCCTAGATGTGCATAAGACTATCCTGAGACAGGAGAAGATAAAGGTATGATTCCATCAGATACTAAACATTTTATATATTACTTTTGTACATTTTGATATTCTTTAATCATGATTTCTTCTAATTCTTACTGTTTCTACCTTATTTTGCTTTAGTACTTTGGAATTTGGAAAAACAGGGGAGTACTTTGGAATTTGGAAAAACAGGGGAGGGCAAAGAAAAGGAGGGGGAAATAGTCAAAAGAAATAGCTAGCACCCAAGGCACTTTACCCCAACTTGAAAGTGGGGCATACTCTCAAGGAAGTTGAGTACAGTCTTAGGAAACCCATTGCTGGGAAAAGAAGATGAGGAGTTGGCAACTCTTCTCATAAAGGCCCCTTCTCTGGGAGGTCTTCCTGATTAAGATTTTGATTCTCAGGTTGGTTAGGATCTTCTCAATTTCCCCAAGTCCTGGTGAATACTTTATTCATCCTAAACACATTCACTTTGGTTACATGATTCTTTTGTGGCCCCTTTCAAATAAGAGGCCCACTTAGGTCAGATTGTGCATTCCAGAGAAAGTTCTAAGGTATAACACTCCCAGAGGAGGCACTTAGGAGATACCCTGTTTGTTGAACACTTGTGTAGTCATGACCATGTGTAAGACATTTAGGTTGGCTGTGTAGGGATTCAAGGAGAAGAGTCTAATGTAGGACCTTGAGTAGCACACAGATTAATAGTAGAGAATAAGACAGATAGATGCTTAACTCTAATGCAAGGCAGAAAATAACTGCATGAGAGAAGTGCTAACCAAGGGTTCTGGGTATTTGGAGGGAGGAGGTAACATATCTGATCAGGGAAATAAGAAATAATACCAAGAAGGAAAGTGCATTGGCAATGAATCTTGGATGAGAAAGCATTGGTGCATTTATGGAATAGCAGTTTGATTTAGGAAGAGTGTGAAGTGATTGTGGATGTAGAAGCAGGAGCCATGAGAAGGAGATGGAGCTGAAAGTTTGCTGAGGTAGGTTCAGAAGCTGTATATCTCTAGATTTTTCCCCCACAATGTTTGTTCCATGTGTCCCTTTATCTCTTTTGAGTATCCACTCAGTTCTTTCAGAGGGCTTTCTTGTTTTTACATTGAATGTATACTTGTCCTAAAGGAAGAATAGACTAGAAAGGAGGTTGAGGAATGAGTATGAAGAATCCTGAATTTATAGGGATGAGCTGTGACCAGGAAGATTAGTTTGTAAGGTTAAATTAGTGTGGGAGGCAGGAAGGAGGCCCCTCTTTTGTCAAAATGGGAAGAGAGAAAGGCTTAATATCTCTAACCTGTAGGATGTGCAATGAAGGGGGAAGGGAAATTTAAAGTGGGAAATTTAAGGTAACTGAGGTTTCAAGCCTAGAAAGTTGAGACAAATGGTAATGCTATGCACAGAAATGTGAGAGAAATAAGTAGGAACCTGATTTAGATGGAGGGTAGTAAGTGTGCTTTGGGACATGTTAATTGCTGTAGATAAAGAATTTTTTTTGTGTGTATGGGTCATTTATAGAGTGAAATTTGAACTCCAGATAGTGGATAGCACTAAAAAGAAGAAAAGGGCCATCCATGAATGAAAACCTGAGGAGCCTTCCTTTGGTGGAGTGTGGAGGGATGGAGAAGCACCATCAAAAGACTACAAGGAGGCAGAAGAGGGTATAGGTACAAGAGATAAGGGAGCAGACAGCAGCAAAGGGAGGACATGGCCAAAGGATTTGGTTATCATCTGATGTATGGTGGGCTCTCCAGAAAGTCTTTTAACTGAACTGAGAGAGATGTGAGGTGATAGAGATTTGGTGAATAAGTGCTATCTGGTGTCCCTAATGTTGGCAGCTTCAGTGGAGAGTAGGGTCATAAGACACTTGCAGAGGCCATGGGAGAAGGAGTTGGTGAGGAAAGGGTGTAAGGTCCACAACTATTCTAGATAATGGTTTGAAGGAAAAGTAGAAACTTGGGAGAGAAGCACCATATCGGTATATATTCTTTTCTTTTCTTTTTCCCTTTTCCTTTTCCCTTCTTCTTTTTCTTTTTTTTGTGAGACAAGGTCTCTCTATGTAACCCAGACTGGTCTGGAATTTTCCCTATTCCCTTCTTAGCCTCCTAAATGCTAGAATTACTGGCACGTACCACCATGCTGGCTTGGGAAGGTTTCATTTTAAGATCAGCCAGGATAGGTGGAAGGCTTGGATGGAGAGCAGAAACTGAGGATCGCAAATGCAGGAGGACCCAGAGGGGTGGGAGACAATGGATTCAAGAGTCATGCTCATTAGTCTGGCAAAGAGAGAGCCAGATTGAGAAGGAGGATGTTCATATGAGAGGGCCTAAGTCTTCTCAGTAAATTATGAAGCAAGGTCACCTGCTCAGAGGGAGGGGACGGGGATAGAGTTGTGGGTTTGAACACAGTGGCAGTATATTGGAATAGTTTATGTGGAGAAGCTGTGGGAGTAGGCCCCAGATCTGGAGGGCTGAGCAGCAATAACCAGGTGGAAGTATTTGGGCACCAAAGCACTGAGTGATGGTGTGAGTGCATCTCTGAAGCTACTCATTCTAGGATCCATGCCCGACAAGAAGAAAGGTGAAGCCAGGTAGAGTATCAAAATCAAAAGCCATGTTTGTAGAAGGAATGAGGGGGCAGAAGGGAAGGAACTAGAGAGAAATGCTCTATAGATAAAGAAATATCTCTCTTTAAACCCAGCCTCATGCTCCTTATAATTTACAACTAGTCTTTCACTACTAGTCTAGATTATATATTCTACAATGTAGGAAATAAAAAAGGAAACTAATCCTAGAATGTATTAGCTGATTTATTTCAGGCATTGTGTTAAGAATTTTACATGCATTATCGTATTTACTACTTATGATAATCCTGTGAGCTCAGATAATAAGCTGTTTGCATTCCTTTTAAAAGATGACTATAGACAGATTAGATAATTTGTTTAAGGTCACATAGCTAGTGAATGGTGAAATCTGGCTTTGGATCCAGAAAAGTGCTCATAGCCACTTTTCTAAACTGCCTCCCTGCCAAGACTTGCTACAATGGTCATAGAGCAAATGTGTTGCCTTTTAAAAAAATCACTCAAATTGTTATAAAAAAAAATACCATACATATGTATAGTTTAAAATCTTACTTTCTCTCTCTTCAGTGTTGATCTTGAACATGCTAAGCGTGTGCTCTACCACTGAACTACATCCTCAGCTCTTAACACACATTATTTCTTTGATGTTCACAACATATCTGTGAGGTTCGCAATCATATGCAGGACAAAAGAAGAGACCTTCAACTCTGAGGTCGTTCTCCTTAGTCCTGGCAGTTTTGAAGTTTTGTCATTCCAGAGTTGTGATCAGTTAAAAAAATCTGATCTTTTTGCCCTTAACTATTCTAGGCTCATTTTGCTAAAGGAGTTTTCTCAATAGATCTTCTTCTTCTTTCCAGGACATAGAACTCTTTATGTGGGGGTTCGGATGCCATTGGGCCGGCAGAGCCACCGGCATCACCGTACCCATGGTCAGAAGCACCGAAGACGAGGACGGGGCAAAGGAGCCAGCCAGGGGGAGGATGGCTTGGAATCCCTGGCCCACGGTAACAACCTGGGGAGAGAGGGCTGTACCCATGGCTGGGAAGAATGGTGAGGCTGAGGGAGCAACTAAGGGGCATAAGCAGGTCTTGATCCTTGCCCTGGGGTTGGGTTTTCAGAGCTTGCTTCCAAGAAGAAATGTCTCTACGAATCAAAGGTGTCTTCATGAAAACGTCAGTTCATCCTCTCCCAATCAATACATAATAGGTGAAATCTTTTGCTAGAGAATTAACCATTTCTTCTTGATTGAATTTGTCAGATTTCCAGGCTCTTCAGGGATTTCTCCAAGTGGTCTTAGTTCAAATTTGTCCTCTCATGAAACTGTTCCCACAGAATAACTTTTTCTCTGAGAAAAAGGAACTTTTTTGATCTATATTCAGAATGGTCTTGTATATATTCCTGAAGTTGTTAGGTAAGACAAAAATGCTGGTTTTGTTCTGACTTTGCGGCTAGATGCAGACTGTTCTTTGTGGTTGATTTCATAGACACACCATCTCAGCGTGTTCAGTTCATTCTTGGCACTGAAGAAGATGAAGAACATGTGCCTCATGAGCTCTTCACAGAGCTGGACGAGATTTGTATGAAAGAGGGAGAAGATGCTGAGTGGAAGGAGACAGCCAGGTAAGGCCCTAAAATACCCAGATTAAGATCTGCTTGGGTAGGCAAATGTATACCTCTTAAGGAAGCAACAGGTCTGCTTGCCTTTTATTTCTTTTTGGAAGAAGCTATAGCTAATGTGAAAACTGATGTTCCAGAGTCTTCTATGGGTTATCTTGGTGTTGGTCTCTTTATGTCTCTGGTCATACTGATGCCAGGTGACTTTGAGTCTGGAATTGGTGACATAGGCGTATTACCAGCAGGAGATCCTCTTCCATTTGTTTGAAGCCTAAAGTATGTCTTCCCTTGATAATACAGGTCTAGTTTAGAAGATACTGGACAGGGCCACCTTGGTGGTGACTTAGCTGATTGGACATAGCATAGACCAGACTTTGCTGCAGGTAAACCATAGGGTCATTTGAGTTTTAATTTACTGATAGTCCCAGAATTTTTGAGAGTTTAACTTCTTCTGTGACATTTCAGCCTCGAACAGACCTTTGGTATTACAGCCCAACACTAGACTTCCTGGGGTAGTTGTAGAGTGGCCATTCTTATCTGAGACTAAGATCTCAGATGAGACCTCAAATTAACCAGGGCTATGTCTGAGCTCCTCTAATAACCGACCGGTGATACTTACCGATGATACAAAGCCACCATGCCTTAACCTTGGGGAAGGAGGTGAGGTGAGTAACTAGCAAAATGTGGCCCCCAAAAAAGAAAGCAAAGCAGTTTTTCTTGGATGCCTGCTGTATCATGGACATTTTCTATATAGAGAGAGGATTAAACAGGCCAGTCAACCTGATACCAAGTAAAAAAGCAGCAGTCTTGTCAGTCTGTCTTTGTGGACATCTAAAGATCACACAGAACATTGAACACTAAAGGTCACACAGAACACCCATATAAAAAAAGAAAAATATTATCATTTTTATTAATGTGATTTGTCAACATGTCCAAATGATATAGATTAGATCTAGTTTTTAATTATGCAGGTAATGCATGCTCACTATAGAAAGTTAGAAAATTAAGATAAGCAAAAAGAAGAAAATGAAAATGATCTGTAATTGCTGTACCCGAGGATAATATGGAATATATTTAGTGTATTACACATATATGTGTTTGTATTTTTAAATTTTTCTTTAAGTAAAGATGGAATTAAACTATACTCAAGTTTGTAGTATTCTATAACTTGCTTTTTCACTTACCAAAGTTCTCTGAATATATAGATTTTACAGTGTTCAATATGACTATTCAGATTTTTTTTCTCAAAAATTCCTATTTTCTATCATTGAGATCTAGTTATTTGTAATGCTTACAGATGGCTGAAATTTGAAGAAGACGTTGAGGATGGGGGAGAACGCTGGAGCAAGCCTTATGTAGCAACTCTTTCACTGCACAGCCTCTTTGAGCTACGGAGCTGCCTTATTAATGGAACTGTCCTTCTGGATATGCATGCAAATAGCATCGAAGAAATTTCAGGTAAGATTAGATGAGGGAAAACAAAGGAACTTTTGTGTAAATTAAGGAATATAGTGCAGAGCAAAGAAGAAAGTGGCTGTGTGTCTTTAGGCAAGTCCTAGCCTTCCTGACCTCAATGTCCTTAGGTGTAGGATGGGTTTCAAACTAGTAACCCAAACTAGAGTATGGCTTTCAATACTCTACTTATTTCCCAGGCAATTATAGGACTCAAATGACACAGCATTTAATCTTCTATTTTCTCTAGCCATTGAGCAAACATTTATTTTGTATCTACTGTATGCTTCATGATGTGTAAGACACAGGGTTATAAAGATTAGACACAGTTCTGAGGTTCAAGAAGCTCAACCTCTAGTGGGGGCAAATAGCCATGCAAACAACAATGAAAACACAAGTGCAGCCCCATAGGTGTGCTTGGTAATCATTAGAGAAAGGGGCAGTTGGAATTGTGGAGAGAAAAAGGAATTAAAGAGAACTAAAGATTTTTAAATATGGTATCTAAAGCAGATGTGGAGGAAGGTGAGTCACAGAATTCCTACCTCTTGAGCAAGATATTCATGAAAGACCCATGATTGATGGAGTTTCCTGGTATACCTGGATGTTTTGGGGACAGGGTTGCAGAAACACCTGAGTACATGTGGGGCCTTTTCACTTGAATGGGCTCTTTTTAGCTAGATAGATTAGGATTTTTCCAAACCTTTCTCCATCTCAGGTATCTAAGTAATTCTGCCTTTCTGAGGTTACATGGAGACCCAAAGGAAGGGTCAGCATTGATGGGATTGTATGTTCCCCTCCTTTGAAAGAAGGTGCCCCAGAAGTACCATTATCATCTGGGAGAAACAGAATTCTTGTGTTCACATGTACACTTTGCTAATTTTTGACTATGTATCTGAAATCCCATGAAGTTAACCTTAAAAAGCTTGTGTTGTGTTCTTAAGTAAAAAGTTCCCTGGAAGTTATTGAAGTTATAACTTTGTGTAAGCTATGGAGAAAGAATGGAAAGTTTTTTCGTGACAGATCAAATTTTGTGTAATAGAAAGATAATGATGACAGTAATATGGAGGATGACTTGAAGGGAGAAATGAGTTAGGCTATAGATTAGGCAGTAGATCAGATGAGATGTTGCCTATACTATTGGCAGTAGTGATGAGCGATGAAAAGGAGGGAGACAGTTTCCAGTGAAATTTGAGAGGTAGAACTGATGAGACAAGTTTGGTAAATATATTGGGGGAATGAAGGAATAAGAGTTAAGGATTTTGGCTTTGGTGGTTGGGTGACTAGAAAACAAGTAGGTCTGGTGGGAAAGAGAATGAGTTTGGTTTTATACTGACTGAGTTCTAGAGGTATGTGGGATATCTAACTGGAGATGTCTAAAGGGTAATTGGAGCTTTGGACTAAAGCTTAGGAAAGAGATTTGAACTAGGATACAGTTTTAGGATCATCAGGTTATGGGTAACTGGCACTTACAGTCTTAGAGGTGATTGAGGTTATTATGGGAGGGAAGATCAAAAGGCTGAGGATACTGGGGAAACTTCAAGAGACTAAACTGTAGGAAGCTTGTGGGTATGTTGGAGGAAACAAGGTCAGCCAAAAAGACTGAGGAGTGCTCAGAGAAGTGAGAAGAGATTTCAGGATTGGAATGGCCATGAAACCTGAATTATTTTCCTAGGGCTTCTGTAATAAATTCCCACAAATCTGGTGATTTATAGTAACAGAAATGTATTCTCTCGCAGTTTGAGAGGCTAACAGACCCAATTGAAGGTGTATGTAGAGCCACATTCTCACTTAAGGCTCTTGGAAAAATTAATCCTTATTCCTTCCAACTTCTAGCTTCTAGTGGCTCTAAGTGTTTCTTGACTTTTGGCTGCCTAACTCCAACTCCAATTTCTGCCTGTTCTCATATGGATTTCCCTTCTTCTGTCTTTCTCTTCAGTCTCTCTTTCTCTCCCTCTCTTGGGCTGGGGTTTCAACTCAGGGCTTTGCACTGATCCTTTATTACCATAAGAGCAATAGTAGTACCACCCAGTTTCATTTCTGATTTTATTTGAATCTTTTTTTCTAGTCATTTTAGCTAAGAGTTTGTCAAACTTGTTAAATTTTTTTTTTGTGGTGCTGGGGTTTGAACTCAGGGCCTACACCTTGAGATACTCCATCAGCCCTTTTTTGTGATGGGTTTTTTCCAGATAGGGTCTCACAAACTATTTGCCCCGGCTGGCTTTGAACTGTGATCCTCCTGATATGTCTTCTGAGTAGCTAGGATTACAGGCATGAGCCACCAGAGCCCAGCAAACTTGTTGATCTTTTTAAAGAACCAACTTTTGAGATGCATATGTGCATGCCTGTAAGCCTAGTGTTCAGGAGACTGAGGCAGAAGGATCTTGAGTTCCAGATGAGCTTGGGCTATACAGGGAGACCTTCTCTCAAAAAACAAAACAACAACAACAACAAAAAAAAACCACCACCAGCACCACTAAAAGCAAAAACCATATAACCCCTCATCAAAATAAAGCAACCTCTCCCAAAAAAGTAACCTCAGTTTTTGAAGGTCAAGACCCCTATTGCTCATTGTAGCACCAGTGAGTTGCAACAGAAATTTGGGCCACTATTTCCACAACTCTCTCCATGGGGCTAGAGCTGGAGGGTGATAGATGGTATACCAAATGTTGAAATTCACTAAAATTTTCACACCTGTTTTTTGTTTTTTTTTTTTCTGGTGGTACTGAGGTTTGAACTCAGGGCTTTACACTTGCTAGGCAGGCACTCTACCACTTGAGCCACTCTGCCAGCCCTCCAGCTTGTTTTTGAGAAAAGGTCTTACTAATTGCCCAGTCTGGTCTTGAGCCTTAACTCCACCTCCCAAGTAGCTGGGATTACAGGATTGCACCACCATGACCATCCAGTTTTTGTTGTTGTTGTTTTGTTTTTGAAACAGTAGCTTACTATGAAGCTCAGGCTGGCCTTGAACTAGTAATCCTGCTGCTCAGCCTTCCTGGTACAGTGATTACAGATATGGGCCACCATGCCTGGCTTTCATCAGAGTTTTTGTAAGGATTAGATTAATAACATATATAAAGTTCATAGTATAGTTCCTGGTACATATTTAGTGAGCATGGTGGCATACATTTGTAGTCCCACTTTCGAAGAATGCTGAGGTAGAAGGATCACTTGAGCCAAGGAGTTTGTGGCCAGCCTGGTAAACATAGCAAGACTATCTCTTAAAAAAATTTTTTTTAAGTGAATAAAGTACAACTTTTTATAGCCACAGTCATCCAGTAGCTCTTTCAAACACTGAAACTGAAATTGCACTTCAGTGACCCTAGATGGAGCTGCTTCCCCCCTCTCTTGCTCCTTCCACCACCCCTCCTGATGCTGGTTTCCTTGGATTTATCAACCCTCAATTTGAGTGTTCATGCAAATAAATGCCTGCTTTCTAGACCTAATACTGGACCAGCAAGAACTGTTTAGTGACCTGAATGACAGCATGAGAGTCAAAGTGCGGGAAGCCCTTCTCAAAAAGCATCATCATCAGAATGAAAAGAAGAGAAACAACCTCATTCCCATCGTCCGCTCCTTTGCTGAGGTTGGCAAGAAGCAGTCTGATCCACATTCAATGGACAAAAATGGTAAAATTATCATAAGTGATTGTTGTTTCTTTTTTATTAATAAGATATTTGGGAACTAGTTGGGGATACTGAATTGCTATTGAGTTGGGGCCATATTAGTCTAATGTTTCCATGCCCACTTAGACACTTCGTCCTTATTGGTGATTGGTAAGATGAGTGAGTGGGACTGGTGCTCATCTATCTCTTGTGTACTTGGGATGCATTCTTTTGACAGATTTCACTGTACCCAAGGCAAAGGACTATTTACTAAGTATGCTCTCAAAAATGATGTGGCTTTTGGAAAGTATCCATATTGGAGATAATTTGGGGCCAGAGAAGGTAAACAAGAGCCTTTTAAGCTCCTGCGACCTACTCCTTCAGTTTATTGTGAGATTTCAAGGAGTTCATCTATGTAAATAAAGCTAGATGCGTGGTGGGTTATAAATACTCAGTGAATTTCAGCTGCTGATTGGTTCCCTTTCCTGTGACTAGGCAGGGCCTCATCTGTGTCCATTTCCTGGTCTCCTCATTTACTGAAATACAATATGCAGGGATATGCCTGGAATCTATATATGTGAAATGTTCTCTGTAGAAGTTTCTCATATGCACTTCTGGTTAAGGACTGCTGCCTTACTAGCAAATTAAAAGAACTAAAATTAATTCTTCTTGACCTTAAACATGTTCAGGAAGATGCAGCAGAAGTGAGACTTCTGTCTTCTCCTTACCACTTAATAGTAGATAAGGTGATAGGTATGAGTGGGTCTTGCTTCATAGACCTTTTAACCTCTTCTCCATGTAGCTTTTGCAGAAGTCATAGCCAATTGATGATGGATGGGGTGTATCAGAAGGGGAAAAGAGCAGGCACTCAGTCAGTGGATTCTGTCTGATTTTCTCCAAACAGGTCAGACCGTATCTCCTCAGTCTATTCTGACTACAAATCTTGAAGTGAAAAATGGAGTGAATTGTGAGCACAGTCCTGTGGATTTAAGCAAGGTGAGCAGAGACATAGAAAGTTGATTTCTAGGTCTAAGATTATCTCTAATTGTTGGAATCTGGGTAGGCTTTGACATTTCAAGACTTTCTCCAAGACCAGAGCTGTTTTCATGAAAAAGGAGACTCATTTGCTCATGTTTTCTCCCTTCTACTCCAGCTTGGGTGAAACTGACCTTTCAGTTTGTTCTTCCAAATTCAATACACTGAGACTGAGACTAACAACTGAGTCTCCCCAGAACCAGAACCCAGACCTCTTGATTTGTCAGTTCTCATCTCTAAGGGGTTTTGCCAAAACAATATTTTTTTACTGCCTCCTAAATCTACCTCATGGTTGAAATCTTCTGTGGACTATGACTTTGGTATCTGAGGCCTTCTGCAGTAGCAGCACCTTGCTGTGGCTTTTGGTTCAAGCTTGGTCCCTCTGCCACTCCTTGCTCTGGTTTACCCTGGATACTGTCTTTCTGAACCAGATAGTATCATGTCAGTTTATCTGTTCATAGGCTTCCTGTTTTATCCAGAAAACCTGAAACCTCTGACAGAGCAGTCAAATATTTAAAAAGGGAAATAATGTGACCCAGAGCTTCAACAGCATTCCTGTCTGGGAGGCATGATAGAATGGGATTCAAATCAGAATACTTAGATTTAAATTGTGATTCTTTATCTTAAAAGCTGTGTGGTCCTGTGCAAGTCAACATCACCTCTCTGAGTCTCATTTTTTTTTTTTTTTCAATAGTGGAACCAAAATGGTGTGTTTTATCTACCATACAGAGTTTTTGTAAGGATCAAATAAAATCAGTGTGAGAAAACATTTGTTAATCATAAAGTGACATATGAATGTAAAAGGTATGAAGAGAGTGAATGATGTTTAAGATAATGGTTCCTAAATTGTCAGGAGGCTCTTTTGCACTTTTAGGTGGACCTTCATTTCATGAAAAAAATTCCTACTGGGGCAGAGGCCTCAAATGTCCTGGTTGGAGAGGTGGATACTTTGGACAGGCCCATCGTTGCTTTTGTGAGGCTGTCTCCAGCCATTCTTCTCTCAGGCCTTACAGAAGTGCCAATCCCAACAAGGTAAAGGCAGTGCATTCTATCTGAAGTACAAATTTATGTGAGTAGTAGTAGATGAAACCAGCTAACACCAAAAGTTAGGATTAATGAATTTGGGGAATGGTATTTAAAATTCAGCAGTGAACTCTGAAAACTGGGATATATTATATTAACCACCATGCAGAAGAGTTCTGGCCTTTAAGCTGTATGTGACTGCATGATAGCTGCAGCCTTGGAAATGGAGACCTGACGCACATTCAAAGGGCATAGCAAGGGCTAGTTGCTTGTTATAATGAGAAGCCTAAGTATCACTCTCCAGTTATATAGTGTGATATCCCAGGGAAACATCTCCAAGCAAAGGTATTGGTGTCTCTTTACACAGTTCTGGTAGGGTTTGTATGGTTTGCACATATGCCTGTGTTTGTTCAAAAGGCTATTCATGTGCCCTGAAGGTAGTTATGCCAGTGATTCAGAGCCCCGCTAATTATAGAGTATTCAGATTGTCCTGAACACAATTTTGACTCCTTTATAGGCTTGATCATTTCAACTTCCTTATCCCTCTCCTTTCCCTATCATTTTCTTATTAGAACAATGAATGAGAGTCAGATAACCTTGAATTTGTACAATGCTTTGTTTGGAAAAGACATTCTCTCTATAGCCAGAAATTGTGTCTATGGAAACCCTAAGAAACATAGCCACAGTATTGAAGGATGTCACACAAATAGCTTCCAGTGCCCATGGTGGACCTGCTAGGTCAAGGCAACTTGAAGTGCTCACATTTGTGAATTTCCTTTTTTCTTTTTTGAAAGAACAGTGATGATTTGTATTTGGTAAGAGAGAAAAATATTTGCCGTTTAGAGCAGAATAATATGCCACTTCTTGATATTTGCTTACATAACTTCCTCTTTTGTGTGTTTTGCCAGATTTTTGTTTATCTTATTGGGTCCAGTAGGTAAAGGTCAGCAGTACCATGAGATTGGCAGATCCATGGCTACCATCATGACAGATGAGGTACATACCACTTCAGCTTTTCATTCATTCATCTCATAAATATTGATTGAGTATTTACTGTGTTCCAGACACTGTGCTACTTGTTGGGGCTAACATAATAACAATTGCAATGTATGCTGAGAAGGGTTAGGACACTTTTCTGGGACTCCATCATGGGAGGTCCAAGCCATATGGAGGATTTTTCTTCCTATGTTATCTTTCCCTTAAATTTTTTATATAGTTTTTGCTTTATTGCACTATATAGCCCAGGTTGTCCTCAAATTCGTGATCTTCCTGCTTCAGCTCCCTGAATGGTGGGATTACAGGTGTGTGCCAACACATCCAGGTTCTCTTTCTCTCTTTTTGAGTAATCAAGGATGCAGAGAAATCCTTTTCTGGGAAAATTATTTTTGCCAAGTAGGATACATAGAGAAATACATTAAAACTGAGTTAACTTGCTAGAGAATATGGTTAATTAAATATATCCAAGTAATTTTACTTAAGAAAACCTCACTCCCATTCCACACAAATGAGCGTAGTTTGTACATGGTCAGGGTTATGCTCTCAGGCAGTATAGCAGGAATGTACTGGCTTATCTGTACCATGCCCCCAGACATTTTGGCATTTTGCTGAACCTACAGTGTATACACCCTGGTGAGGATGGTATTGCACATGTAGGCTGCAAAGTGGTTGTTAAGGCATATGTCTTAGTGGGCAGAAGGAGGTGGGCTGTGTTGTATCATCTCTCTTTGGTTGGGAGAAGTAGTTTACGGAGGACCTTCATTAGTAATTCCATCCAAACATGATGATCAAGAAAATTTTCCATACATCCTGCTTTTTGTTCTGTGGAGACATTGTACATTAGAGTCATGTCTTATCTCTTCTGATACTAGAAGCACATATTCTGTTCTCTTTGACCCACCTCAACTCTAGGTACAGTTTTGTTTTTTATTTTCTCCTGAGGGGGTTATTGAGACACGGTCTTTTTATATAGCCCAGGCTGGCCTCAAATTTATGATTCTCCTGCCTCAGCCTCCTGAGTATTGGGATTATAGGCATGCACTACATTTAGCTTTAGGTTTTTTTTTTTTTTTCAGTACTGGGATTTGAACTGAGAGCCTTTTGCTTGCTAAGCAGGGCTCTGCCACTGGAGCCATGCACCGAGTCCTTTTTGGTTTAGTTATTTTTGGGATAGAGTCTTGCCTTTATGCCTGGGTCTGCCTGGATGGTAGTTATACTTCCCAGGTAGCTGAGATGACAGGCACCTGCCACCATGCCCAGTTTTTTGAAATGGGGAGGGGGTGTCTCAGCGAACTTTTTGCCTGAGCTAGCTTCAAACCATGATCCTCCTGATCTCCACCTCCTGATAGCTAGGATGATAAGTATAAGCCACCATGCCTGGTTTAGATTCTTTTTTTTTTTTTCCCTTGTACTTCTCTAAGTACTAAGAATTGCTTCTCAGATCCCATAGCAGAGGTAAAAACCAAGAGATTGTTTCCATCTGTCACCATATTCATTGGAGATTGTTTTAGGTTAAGTAATTTTCAACTTTCCTAAAGGTTTTTTCTTCTCTATAGATTTTTCACGATGTGGCTTATAAGGCAAAAGAGAGAGATGATCTCCTGGCGGGGATTGATGAGTTCCTAGACCAGGTGACAGTGCTCCCTCCGGGGGAGTGGGATCCCTCCATTAGAATCGAACCACCCAAAAATGTTCCTTCCCAGGTAAAGTATGCATGATAGCCAGTGGTGGCTGGTGTCACATTCTGAATGCCCACCATGGACAGAGCAAAGACCATGTGGGTATATACTACATAAATTGAGACATGACCCTATTTGGGGGCAGAACAGTAATGAAAAATGAATCTGCAGTGACATCAGGTGTGATGAGGTGTCAGGGTTACTTGGGGATAAATTTTATTTTATTTTATTTTATTTTTATTTTTTTTTGTGGTCCCAATTCTTTTTTTTTTTTTCATTTTTCTTTTATTATTCATATGTGCATACAAGGCTTGGTTTATTTCTCCCCCCTGCCCCCACCCCCTCCCTTACCACCCACTCCACCCCCTCCCGCTCCCCCCCTCAATACCCAGCAGAAACTATTTTGCCCTTATCTCTAATTTTGTTGTAGAGAGAGTATAAGCAATAATAGGAAGGAACAAGGGGTTTTGCTGGTTGAGGTAAGGATAGCTATACAGGGCATTGACTCACATTGATTTCCTGTGCGTGGGTGTTACCTTCTAGGTTAATTCTTTTTAATCTAACCTTTTCTCTAGTTCCTGGTCCCCTTTTCCTATTGGCCTCAGTTGCTTTAAGGTATCTGCTTTAGTTTCTCTGCATTAAGGGCAACAAATGCTAGCTAGTTTTTTAGGTGTCTTACCTATCCTCACCCCTCCCTTGTGTGCTCTAGCTTTTATCATGTGCTCATTGTCCAATCCCCTTGTTGTGTTTGCCCTTGATCTAATGTCCACATATGAGGGAGAACATACGATTTTTGGTCTTTTGAGCCAGGCTAACCTCACTCAGAATGATGTTCTCCAATTCCATCCATTTACCAGCGAATGATAACATTTCGTTCTTCTTCATGGCTGCATAAAATTCCATTGTGTATAGATACCACATTTTCTTAATCCATTCGTCTGTGCTGGGGCATCTTGGCTGTTTCCATAACTTGGCTATTGTGAATAGTGCCGCAATAAACATGGATGTGCAGGTGCCTCTGGAGTAACAGTCTTTTGGGTATGGGGATAAATTTTAAACCAAATTTTGAAGGATTGATATAGAATGGCAGAGAAAAGAAGGGAGAGTACTTCTTGGAAGTACCTCATGCACAAAGCCATCAAATGAAAAATTCAAGCTATATAGTCAGAGCACATATAGTTTCCTATACTTTTCTGACATAGTAAGAATGGGAAGAGAACTACTGTGTATTAGACACCAGAGCAGTTGCTTTATATATATGAATTCTGTCTTCTAGCACCATCCTCTAAAAGGCACTGTTATCCTAGGTTTGCACATGAGGAATACAACGATCTAGTGGAAGGTTTTAGGGTCAAGTAAGATTACACAGAAGCAAACTTGAAACTGGAATTATGTCATATCTGATGCCCAAAGGCCCCATTTTTCTGTTTTTTGTGCAGGACATATTAAGAGTTATAGTCTACTTGAGAAGAAAAGGAATTTTATATATGTAAATACACATTTTTTTTCAGGAAAGTCAGTAAATTGTGTCAAATCCGTGAATACATTTGAGAACTATAAACACAAGCATTTTTATTGCTTTTGGGTTATCCTATCACCACTCACTCCCTCCCCACTAGCAGAAAGGACAGGTAGATGCTGACTTTACTAATTTTGTGGTCTTCTGTTAAAAGGAGAAAAGGAAAATGCCTGGAATTCCAAATGGAAATGTTTGCCACATAGAACCAGAACCACATGGAGGTCATAGCGGACCAGAACTTCAGCGCACTGGGCGGTAGGTTCTGGGATATTGCATAGCTGATGCTGTTATTGGGCAGATGGTGTGTAAAGGAACAAGGCATCCTCTTTGTTTTCAGTCTTCTGCTCTGAAGCAGGCCTTTGTTGTTTGGGGATGACTTTTCAAATGGAACCACTGGCTATATTCCTACAACCATAACAAATATTGTATTCATTCATTCAAGTTTCTTGAACCACCTATCATGATCTGTCTCTCCTCTAGTCCTTCCTACACATTGTCCTTTCTCTGTCTTCTTCATCTCCCAGCTAACTCCCCTTATCTTTGTCTTGGTTTAGTTATGTCCTCTTTTGAGAGAGCCTTTTAGTATCTCTAGAGTTGAAGTTAGGTATTCCTGCTATATAATGTCACATTATTGTTCTCTCCCTCCCTCTACCCCATCATTACCACCCTTATCATACTTTACTATTATTGCTTGATTTGTTGTGTTTCCTGCTAGACTGTTTGCTGCAAAAGGACAGGGACTCCATTATATTTCTAGCACCCAGCACAGTGTCCTATATAGAGAAGGCGCTCGATTTCTAATGATTGAATAGTTTTAGAATGATATCTGTTGTGTAGCATGGAATAGACTAGGCATGGATAAATATTGTGATATCATTTTAGGTTAAGAAACTCCCTTGGGGGTAGGTACTGTCTTAGATGTGTATGTCTCAGAATAAGAAATCTACTTTCTTTAACCAGTATTTTAAAGACATATGTTCCAAGGAAGGAGTCCTTTATGATAGCTTTCCAGGCTAGGAAGCTTTATTTCTCAGGTAGGAAGGTGGCAAAAGAAGATGATGTTTGGCATTGGTGTGGCATCTCCAGCTTATGGGAAGGGTTGAGACTGGCTCTGGCTTGGTACGTTGTGCTGCATCTAAGAAGTATGTGCTGAGTACATACTTCTGAGGACTCAGATCATGAAAAGAAGTTTTTATGTCCTCTACCTTCTTGATTTCACCTTTTCTCCCTCCTTGATTGAGTTTGCTTTTCTTTTCTATCCTCAGTACTGCCATTGGAAGCTCAGGGTATTTTGGAATTGTAGAGAGTGATTTATTTTTCCACTCATGAAAATTCAGGGAGAAGTCAGAAGAGACAGAAACAAGAGAGAACAGAACTTAACTAGCAGTGTCCTAATAGAGGAGTATGTTTTCTGGGTAGAGGGAGTGTGTGCTAAGACAACTATGCTCTGGAAGGGAGTGTTGGCAGAAAGGAGTCTTGAATGGAAGGGGCCACTGAAAAGAGGGGGAAGCCTCTGAGAGAGACAAACATTTTCTTTAAAGCTGAGACATGCTGGTGGAATGACTCGAGTTGTAGAGCACCTGCTTAACAAGCATGAGGCCCTGAGTTCAAACCCCAGTACCACCAAAACAAAACAAAAAAAAATTAAGACATGTCTGAGTTGTATGGAGGGCCTGATGTTAAGAGGCAATGAGGGACATGTCTGTCCTGAAAGTGATTTCAAGACTGAGATTGTCCCACAGTAGGTGGCTCCCCCCGCCTCAGGAAGGGTATTGAGTAGGGTTTGATAATATTTCAGAATTATGGCATATCTTTTTGATATATAAAGTCTGTCTACACCCTAGGACTTAAGAGTTTGAAAGTAGTAGGATTGAAGGCAACAAGGTTTTCTTCATATAGATATCTGTGCAGAGGTGAGATTTCAGGTTTCTTTCAAAGAAAATAGAATAGGATCCCATGCTTATCAATTCCACATGGGGCTTTGGAAGACCATTAGAATGTATCTTAAAAGTTATAAAAGCTTGGAAGTGGTGCCTGATTTCTATAAAGAAAATCCCATATTAGGATTATCACATACTTGATCACAAACCTCAAGTACCTTAACTGACATATTCAAGTGGAGTTTTAAGGAGTTCTTTCATAATTTCATGTCTGGAACTTTTGGAATTGTCAAAGCTGAAAGGAAACTCTGAGCTCAGAGCTGAGTCTGCTTTTTAGTCTCTTCTTTAACTCCTGATGTTTTTCTTAAGACCCTTTAGTAAAGAACCACAAGACACATGACCTTCTTCCCATTATAGCTATTAGGCCAGTGATCTAATGCCTACATCAGAGTTTACAGTTCCAAGCCAGCTCTGGTTCCTATCCCATTTCAAATTGTATAGAAGGCAAATGGAACCTTCGCTGAAAATGGACATTCCAGAAGTTTCTGGAGCTTCCTCAACAATACAATCCCAAAACACATTAGCTTGTGTTTTATAATTCTTCAAACCATTAGTTGTATATCTTTGAATGCAAAACCTGCTTTGTGTATCTCATGTTGTACAATCTTCAGGCAAAACTCAGAAATTTAAAGGCTGTTATCCTTGTTGGATAAAGAGGTATTTGAAGATGTGATAGAGTAGGCTCAAAGAAGGAGGAAAAAGAGACCAAATTGAAAATAGTACTCTGAGTTCTGTATCACCTGAGTCTCCAAGCCATGGCCAAGACTTAACTTCCCTTAACTTCTCTGATGTTAACACAAGCAGAGATGCCACATGTAGCAAAGAAGACATTATGATTAGAATCATCCTAGAAGTCAAGCTCCCCAGCAAGATTATACTCTGGAAAGGGGTTTTCTAGGATAGATTTGTATCCCTTTTTTGGGATACCAATTTTTGGGAAGGGTTAATGAAAAAAGAATCAGGAGCTGCTATCTTGATGATCCCCCCCACACTTCAAACTGGTTTCTTCCAAAGCACACCAGACAAATGGATGGCTGGCCTGTCCCTGAAGCTCTTCAGGGAAGGGCTCCCTAAGTCAGTGTGCTCCAGAGCCTAGTGACCCTCTACATGGGTAAGTCCTTTGTTGCATCAAGCTTAAGTTCACATCTCTGTGTGCCTCCTGCCTGACAAAACTTGAACATTAAGGACAGTGTTGAAAGGGAAAGGAAGACAACTATGAAGAGAAGCATTCCTACCTGATTAACATCTGAGGTAGCTGTGTAACTGTGGTCTGATTTTATGTACAAATGAGGTTTGAGGCTGACTCCATGGAAAGTATTCAGGGAATGGGGGTATGTGGCTTAAGTGACAGAGCACCAGCTTAGCAAGTGTGAGGCCCTGAGTGCAAACCCCAGTGCTGCCAAAAAATGTATTCATAAACTATTTTATTAATTTATAATTGTGCCATCAATATGAACCTCAGATTTTCTTCTCCTTTTAATCACTGCCAGGCAGACAGAGGTCTTTCTTTCTATGGTTTCCCATAACTCCATTTCATATAACTCCTGTCTATTGCTCACAGACCCTCCTCTCTGAAGATGCCCCTGTATCCAGGGGCTACTAATCATGGCATCATCTCCTGTGGCCCCAATGGGGTACAGAAAGAGATTCTTTTTCCAGAATAATGCCCTCCAGAGGAAGGTTACTAGTGATGAGTAGGTAGAAGATGCTTTGGTAGCTAAGGACCCAAATACTCTTAAATCTTTCGTACCTCAGACTCATCACCACCACTTTTAAGGTCCTTGAGGGGCACTTTATCCAGAGAAGAAAGTTGTGCTGGGTGGGGGTACAATGTGGCATTTACAAAGGTTTTTACAATGTATCAAATATATCATACTTGAATTCACCCCCTCCACCATTCTTCTCTATCCCTGACACTTTGTTTTAAATCAGACTTTGACCCAATCCCTGAGGCTAAACTCTGGTGATCTAGGTTAGTTCCTAGTTCCTTTACCTGAACCAGGGCTGCCAGACAGACTAACACTAATGCAAGTCACAAGGCTGGATTGGCTGCTCTTCTCTCAGACCACACCCACATTGTGATGTTATTGCTGTAAGTGAGGAAAGGTGAAACCCCAGCCATACCCACCAAAACCAGAAGAAAAGAGTAAGTGGGCTCTCCATACCCTCTGTACTTAGCTGGACAAGAGGGAGCATTTGAGTGGAAAAAAGCTGGCCAGGCCTTTCCCTTGGTGCATGGATCCCAGACCTCATCATACTTTCCCAGGATCCTAGGAGGAGAATGAAAGAAACAGATGCCCAAGCCTCCTTCCATGAGAAAGTAGCTTGGTTTTTTTGTTTCAGTTTTTTATTATAGAAAATTTCAATCACATTAAAAAAGAGAATAACATAAGGAATTCCCAAGTACCCAACAACTGTTATTAACATTTTGCAATCTTACCTCCTTTATTTCTTCCCACTTATTTTTATGTTTTCTAGATTGTTTAAAACCAAATCACTGATATCATACCATAAATACTTCAGTATGTATCTCATTTGATAAGGACATTTTAAAAATAATTATGTCACTATCAAATCTAACAAAATTAACTACAATTCTTTAAGTCATCTAATGCCCAGTCTGTGATTGCTAGCAACATCTTTTGGGAGTTTTTGATATAGGATCAAATCAAGGTTGGCATTTGGTTATTGTATTCCTATTCTATAGCAGTCCCTCTTCCTTTCCTTTCCTTTTTTTTTTTTCTTCCTATGCCATTGATTTGTGGAAGAAACAGGTGGTATGTCTTACAGTTTTTCCCTGGTGCACCGACTCCACTCTTAGAAAATGTGATTGAATTTGGGAGCACTGATGAAGAGAACTTGCTCTTCATCTTTGTCATCTGTGGGAATGGAGATGGCCCTGAAGCCTGCTACCAAGTCCTACCTCCTGATTAGCCCTTGATTCCATCCACTTTTCATCCCAATCATGCTTGACTCATCACATTGCCATAAAGGTGATCTTCTAGAATGGACGTTAGATTATGTTGCTTTGCTATTTATAGTCCTTCAATAACTTGACTTACTATTAAGATAAATTTCTAATTCCTTAAACTGTTTGCAAGGACTTTGTGACTTAGCTTCTCCAGCCTTGTTGGTTTTTGCCCCTCATACTGTCTGATCCAGTTATATCTCTTCCAGCACCTTGAACTCACCATGCACTCTCATGTCTAGGTGTCCCCATGCTAGCCACTTTTTCTCACCTGGCTGTCTCCTAGTCCATCCTTTGAGTGCCTGCTGAAATGCCCCTCCCTGTCTGTGCTACCACAACACCACCTGTCTCCTGCACAGACTGTTGGTATTGGAGAGTGAGGGCTGTATTTGTCTTGCTCACTGCTGCAACTACAGTACCTGGCCCAGTGCCTGCCACCAATTATCTGCTACTACTTGTCAAGTGCATGAGTGAACTATAATGCTAATTTCTCAAGAGTAAGGTAGGTAGTTGTTCAGAGTAAGAATTGCATGTGATAGGTAGGGACTTTTAATCTGGAAAATTTTTAATACAACTAAAAATTTCAATACCATGAGTTGCTTTTGCACATTTCCTCCTAACAGCTCAGAGTTTGAAGTTTGACGCTAATGCTTGTCTTCTTGTTAATTTTTTAAACTTTTTAATAAGTGGGTAATATGCATACCCAAATGAATTCTTTTTGTGTTTGTGATAAATAATTCAAATTTACTATAAATCATGTTCTTGGTTGCAAATGAATGTGTGCTGACCTCAGAGAGATTTCTTGTACTTGGGGTCAGGTTGAAGCCAAAGTATTACCTCAATGAAGAGCACATTTGAAGTGCTCTCAAATGTGTGCTGTTCACCTGCTTTTGTGGAGGAGGGACTGCGTTAGAGGCCTGTCTTCCGTGTTTCTGCAGGCTGTTTGGGGGCTTAGTGCTGGACATCAAGCGGAAAGCCCCCTGGTACTGGAGCGACTACCGGGATGCACTCAGCTTACAGTGTCTGGCCTCCTTTCTGTTCCTGTACTGTGCCTGCATGTCACCTGTCATCACCTTTGGGGGATTGCTTGGAGAAGCCACTGAAGGACGCATAGTAAGAACTTTTAACCACTTTTAATGGTTCAAAAGAATACAGTGTTGTCGTGGCAGCCATGTCCATTAGGGGAACGTTAGCTGGGCCAGGACTGAGGAGATTGGATTCTTTTTTCTAAATACCCAAATCTTTTGACTTCAGAAACACTTTTTCCTCTTTAGTACACACTCCCTTCAGCTTGAATGTCAGTTTCAGTAGCTGGTTTCCTGGGTGAATTATTCATTGTCCCAAGAATGGAAAATGAATCTGTTGATACCATTTGAACATAAGATTTAAGATGATTGTGTGGATAGCACTATTGTGTCTTTTATATATTTTTGAATACTGAATTGAGTCACTGAAGAACAGAACTTAGTTGAGGAATCATATGCAACGGTTTGGGCACTTGAATTATTAAAGTGGTATCTGTTTACAGGAGTATTAGGCAGTGTGTGCACTTGACTTGCTAAGAAGAAACACAAGCAAATCACTGTCAAGGCACACATGAAGCTAAGTCAGGAGTGTATATAAGCCAACATTCCTCTTTACTGGTGGATTGTGGATTCATTGATTTTTTTTTTTTTCCTCCTAGAGTGCAATTGAGTCCTTGTTTGGAGCCTCCATGACTGGGATTGCCTATTCCTTGTTTGCGGGACAGGCTCTCACCATTCTGGGAAGTACTGGACCAGTGCTTGTGTTTGAAAAGATTTTGTTCAAATTCTGCAAGTAAGAAATTTGTTTTTTTTAAAATGTGATTATTGTGCTGTCAGGGTTGAATGCCAGGCTCCTATGCAAGTGTACAAATCGACTCATATTCTGGGTTGTGAGAAACCTGAAGGAAGAGCATCACTTGGTCGCCATACCTGTAAAAGCAGATCTTTTCTTAAAGAGTTTGATTAACGCCTCTCAACCATTAGTAAAGTCTTGCCTTTTAATCTTTAGAAGATTAAAAGACCTCCATTTCCATTTCAAATCAATTTTTTTTGTGGTACTGGGGTTTGAACTCAAGGCTTCACACTTGCTAGACAGGCATTCTACCTCTTGAGCTGTGCCTCCAGCCCCTCAAGTCAATTTTTAATTTAGCCTACCATTCCTTCATAATCTGGTTGCTAGTTATAGTGGGGGCTTAGTAAAGCCTTAGTTTCTGTACTTTTCCAATCTTATTTCCATTTTGTATTAGAAGTAGGAGCACATGAGACCAGAACCAGCCCCTTTTTATTACTGCACAAACAAGTTTGTAATTACACTGGTGAGTAATGGCAGAAATGTTATGCATGAGATGATTCCTTCTTTCTCCACTTTCTATATCTTTACCCTGGCAAATAGTACCTGTGAAGCAAATCTTTAACACAGCTGTCCCAGGGTATTACTCAGGAGCACAGTCAATACTCGGGATAAACTGGGCTGCAGTGCTGGAATGGACAGCATGAAATGAATTAACCCCATTTGACATGTGACCCTTTGTCTCTTAGTGGCATCCATTCATGATTTTTGACAGACTTTGGTCTTGTTTCAGAGACTACTCCCTTTCATACCTCTCCCTGCGGGCTTGTATTGGACTGTGGACTGCTTTCCTATGTATTGTCCTTGTGGCAACTGATGCCAGTTCCCTTGTCTGCTACATTACCCGCTTCACTGAAGAAGCATTTGCCTCCCTCATTTGCATTATTTTCATCTATGAAGCAATAGAAAAGCTGATTCACCTGGCAGAGACCTACCCCATCCACATGCACAGCCAGCTGGACCATCTCAGCCTCTATTAGTAAGTATGCTTTCTGCTTATCCTTTTCTTCTTTTTAAATTTTTTCTAATGGAGCAAAGGGCCTGAGTTTAATGGCTGATATAGTATGCCAGCCAGCACTTGTAGCTTCTGTTAAGGAAGTGTCTTGGCCCTCTGGGAAACAGCTCAGTATGGATGAGGAGGTTTGAAGTGATGTCAGAGGAGAATAATCAAAAGTGATGAAAAAGGACAGGCTGAGAGTTGAACTCAAAGGAGACTTGAGAATGCGTTCCAGAGCATGTCTTTTGGTTCAAAGCATTGAAACAAAAATAGGTCACAAATGTAGTGACTTGTTGAGAAAAAGTTTTTTCACAGATTTGTGAGCCCCTATGCCATGTTATTGAGTGAGAGAGTGGACGCTCTCTCTGAAAGTGTTAGGCAACTCTTAGAAGTCGTTAGGTGTAATAATTAATAATTCCTTTCAGATCAGGATTCTCTCCCACAGTATCATAAGGATCTAGACACCTCTTTGTTTCCCAGATTTCAATTCAAGAGATTGTCTTCTTCATGGGTTCAACATTGTTGGGATAAGCTGGAAAAGAAACACGGTATCTGCCTATATTTTCAACCGTCTAGGAGAATCTGATTCTACCAATAATTTCTTCTCTATAGTATTCTCCAAATTATGACTAAATACTGTCTTCCTTTAGCTCTCCACACTATTCCCTCTATTGACTGTACTGTTCTGTAGTGGAGGAGGTGCATGGATCCATCAGCCAACCAGCCAGAAATATACTTTCATCTAGTTATCCATGTATTAACCTTTATTAAAATCAGAATTAATAATATTTTTTGAATATATATAATAATATTTGAATTTTATAAAAAATTTATTTTAATACAAAGTAACAATGATTAGGAAGTATTATTTTCAAATCCTAATCAATTCCTGTTGGCATTGGAATTGTCATTCCTGTAAGGTTCATTCTTTGACCTCTTTTTGTCATTCACTTATTTATTTACAAATATTTATTAAGTGCCTATTATGTATCAGGTACTGTTTTCAGCTCTAGAAATATAGTGACTCAAATGAAAGGACCTACCCACAGTGGGCTTGCACAGAAGCCTGGCAAAAGTGACAAGACCTGGAATGAGTAGACTTTGGATCTGGAAACTAATTCTTTTCTTTTTTTCCTTTTTAAATTATGAGGCAGGGTCTCACTATGTATCCCAGACTGGCCTGGAATTCACTGTATAATTCTTGCTGGCCTTGTTCCTCCTGTCTCTGTCTCTCAAGCGTTGGGATTACAGATGTGTACCACCACACCTGGCTCTGAAAACTGTAATTTTTTGTTAATAAAGCTCAAGTTGTGTGTGTGTGTGTGTGTTTCCAGGGATCAAACTCAAGGTCTTACATATGCCAGGCAAGCACTCTATTGCTGAGCTACATCCCTAGCTCTGGATGATATTTTTCTTAGTTAGAGTCTACTGTTGGTTCATATGGAGCTGATGTGAAGCTAGAATTCCCCAACTCTTTAAATGATTATGTTAACATGTGTGGAATTTATTTTTTTAAGGTAGACTTTATATTTTAGAGCAGTTTTAACTAAGTTCATAGCAAAGTTGAGCAGAAAGTACAGAGTTCCTGTATATTCCCTACCCCCTTACATGTAAACCCTCTCCCATTATCAACATCACCAGAGTGGTACATTTGTTACAAACCTATAGTGACATATCAGTATTGCCCACAGTCCATGGTTTACTTCAAAGGTGACTCTTATGTTGTGCATTCTGTGAATTCTGACAAATATTTAGACATATTTACCTTTATAGTACCTTAAAGAATAGTTTCACTGCCCTAAAATTCTCTGTACTCCACCTGCTCATCCCTCCTCTTCCATCACCTCTGACAATCACCGACCTTTTCCAGAATGTCTTATGAGTGGAATAACATATCTTGTATCCCCTTTAGATAGGTTTCTTTCACTTAGTAATATGCATTCAGAACCTCTAGGTTTTTTCCTGGCCTTTTAGCACTGGATAATATTCCATTGTCTAGATGTTCAGTGGTTTATCTGCTCACCTTCTAAAAGACATCATGTTTGTTCCAAATTTGGAACTTTTAAAATATTTTTTGCTATTTTTTAAATCATAATATTTTATTTCATTTCATGTTTTTGAGATAGGATCTCGCTTTGTGCCCGGGTGGCCTCAAACTCCTGCACTCAAGTGATCCTCTTGCTTCAGCCTCCCAAATAGCAGGCACTTTGGGTGTATACCACCATGTTTAACTTATTTTTAATTAACACATAGTAATTGTACATATTTATGGATTACAATGTGGCATTTCAACATATTTATATAATGTGTAATAAGATTAGAGTAATTGGGCTATAGGTGTGGCTCAAGTGGTAGAGCACCTCAAGCTGAAAGCCCTGAGTTCAAACTCCAGTGCTAACAAAAGGGGAAAAAAAAGAGTAATTAGGCATATCTTATGGAATTGATTTTTAATACATTTTTAATTAACATATGTTAATTATACAAGGGGATTCCACTTCAGTGTTTCTATAGATGCATGCACTGCATTTTGAACAAGTTTCCCTCCCCTAATATACTCCCTTAACTCCTTTCCCTCCTTCCTGCTTTTTAAACAGTATTTAGGGGGTTTCATTATGTTATGATGTTTGTGTGTGTGTGTGTATGCATGTAAACAAACCTAAGTCCTGCTCATCCCTCAGTATCCTCACCTTCTTCCTCCTCCTGCCCACTAATCCCTTCCCCAAACAGTCCTCCCTTTATATTCATGTCCTTTCATCATCATTATAATCATTATCATTTTAGGTCTAAATTCTGCATATGAGTGAAAACATGAAATGCATGTCCTTTTGAGATTGGCTTATCTGTTCAACATGATGTTCTCCAGTTCTATCCATTTTCCTGCAAATGACATAATTTCATTCTTGTTTATACTGAATAATACTCCATTTTGTATATATACCATGTTTTCTTTATGCATTCATCAATTGTTGGGCACCTAGGCTGCTTCCATAGCTTGGCTATTGTGAATAGTACTGTGGTAAACATGAGTGTGCAGGTGTCTTTCTTGTATACTGATTTATACTCCTTCAGATATATGCCCAAGAGTAATACAGCAGTCATAGGTAGATTTATTTTTAGTGCTTCCACTAGTTTACATTCCCACCAACAGTGTATGAAGGTTCCTTTCCCACATTTCCTCACCAGCATTCTAGATGATAGCCATTCTGACTAGGGTGAGATGGAATCTCTGTCATTTTGGATTTGCATTTCCTTTATGGTTAAGGATGTTGAATATTTCTTCAATATTTATTAGCCACCCATATTTCTTCTGAGAACTGTTTGTTCAGTTTATTTGCACATTTATTAATTGGATTATTCTTTTGGTGTTTAAGTTTTTGAGCTCTTCATATGTTCTAGGTAGTAATCCTTTGTCTGATGAATAGCTGGCAAAGATTTTCTCCCATTCTGTGGGTTGTCTCTTCGTTCTGGTAATTATTTCCTTTGATGTGCAGAAGCTTTTTAATTTGATGCAATTCCATTTTGTCAGTCTTATCTCCTGGATAATTGTATTCCTATTCAGAAAATAATTGTCTATGCCTGTATCTTTAGTTGTTTTCCTGCAGTAGTTTCAAAGTTTCAGGTCTTACATTAAGACCTTTGATCCATTTTGAATTGATTGTTTTATATGGAGAGAGATGGGGTCTAGTTTCACTCTTCTACATATGGATATCCAGTTTTCCCAGCACCATTTGTTGAAGAGGCTGTTTTTTCTCCAATGCATGCTTTTAGCTCCTTTGTTAAAAATTAGATGGCATTAGCTGTGTGGGTTTATTTCTGGATCATCTATTCCATTGGTCTTCATGTCTGTTTTTGTCAATGCCATGCTGCTTTTGTTACTATGGTTCTATTGCATCATTTAAAGTCTGATATTGTGATACTGCCAGCATTGCTCTTTTTGCTTGGATTTGCTTTTGCTATTTGAGGTCTTTCATGTTTCTGTAGGAATTTTAGAATTGATTTTTCTATTTCTGTGAAGAATGTAATTGAGATTTTGGTGGAATTTGTATTGAATCGGTAAATTGCTTTCACTAGGATAGCCATTTTTACAATTTTAATTCTGTCAATCCATGAACTGGGAAGTCTTTATATCATCTTGTATCTTCTTCAATTTCTTACTCCAACATTTTATAGTTTTCATTATAGAGGTCTTTTATCTCCTTGGCTAAGTTTATACATAGGTTTGTTTTTTTTGTTTTTTTGTTTTTTTTTGAGGCTATTGTAAGTAGAATTGTTTTCCTGATTTCTTTCTCAGCCTGTTCATTGTTGGTATTTAGAAAAGCTATAATTTTTTATGTTGGTTTTGTATCTTGCTATATTGCCAAAAGTGTTTATCAGGTTTAGGAGTTTTTGGTGGAGCCTTTAGGGTATTTTAAGTATAGGATCATAATTTCTGCAAATAGAGATAACTTTACTTCTTCCTTTTTTCTGTTTTAATCCCTTTACTTCTTTCTCTTGCCTTATTGCTGTAGCTAGGAATTCCAGTACTATACTGAATAAGAGTGAAGAGAATGGGCACCCTTGTATCATTCCTGACTTTAAATAATTTCAGTTTTTCCTCATTTAGTATGATGTTGGCTATAGGTTTGGTATATACAGCTTTTATTATGTTGTATATTTCTTCTATTCCTAGTTTCTTCAGAGCTTTTTATTTTTATTTATTTTTTTGATGTCACTGAGATTTGAACTCAGGGCTTCATGTTTGTAAATCAGCCACACTATCACTTGAGCTACATCTCCAGTCCATTTTGTTCTAGTTATTTTGGAGATGAGTATCTTGCAAACTTTCTGCCCAGGCTGGCCTCGAACAGTGATCCTCCTGATCCCAACTTCCCAAATAGCTAGGATTACAGGTGTGTGCCACTGCACCTGGCTATAATTTTCTTTTTTGTGTGTGTGTTCTTATTGGATTTTGGTATCACAGTGATACTGGCTTCATAGAGTAACTTTGGTAGCATTCCTTCCCTTTCTATTTTTATGAAATAGTTTGAGGAACATTGGTGGTAGTTCTTTAAAAGTCTGATAGAATTTGGCCTGGGCTCTTCTTTGTTGGGAGACTCTTCATTACTACTTCAATTTCATTACTCGTTATAGATTTCTCTAAGTATTTTATATCCTTTGTTCAATTTTGGTAGGTCAGATGCATGTAGAAATTTATCCATTTCTTCTGGGCTTTTCAGTTTATTAGAGTATAAAAGTATTCCCTAATGATCCCCTGAATTTCATTGGTATTTGTTGTGCTATCCCCTTTTTCTTCTCTAATTTTATTAATTAAGATCTTCTCTCTCCTTTTGATTAGTTTGGCTAAGGGTTTGTCAGTCTTACTTGGCTTTTCAAAGAACCAAGTTTTTTTTTTTTTTGAGGCAACATGCCTTCTACAGCCCAGGCTGGCCTCAAACTCACCATGATCCTGCCTTAGCCTCCCGAGTGCTAGAATTGCAGACATGTGGCAATTGACCTTTTTAAAACCCAAACATAGGGCTTTATAGTTTTCCCTGTTCCTTTTCATTTTGTTGGTTTCCTCCTATTATTCTGACTTGTTGAGATTATTTTGGATTTTAATCCTTTTATAAAAGGCATGCTTATTAAAAACAGATGAAAAAAGGTAGCATCAGTTGAACAGGATGGGATTGGGACACAATGTGGTGGACAGTAGACCGTGTGGTCTGGTCTGGTTTGGATGAAAGAGGAAGACTGGGAAAGCTAATGGAGCTGCCGGGCCTGGCTCCAGCATGGGTGTCCAGGAAATGGCTAAGTTAGTGGGATATTAACAAGGATAACACAGTATTTGGAAGAATTTGCATCACAATTCCAGGAGGATGATTTTTAGAACAACGGCATGATGGAAGATATAGGAGTAGATGTCTAGGCTTGGAGGAAATTGTTGATAACTGAGTTGACTATCAGGACCTCCTTACTATGTAGGTTGAATTTCGTAGCTAGAACCTAAGAGATAGAAACCAACCAAGAAAATCTCCCCCACCCTGGTCTTATTCTAGGCACATCATATGCCAAGTGTGGTTGTCAGCACAATTTCATCCAAGACCCACATGCTGATTTGATTCCGTCTTTAGTAATGGCTAACTGAAAAATTAGAATGTGATCAGGCCTATAGGCAGGCCTCAACCAGTAGGACCCATTTCAAGGATCTGAAATATACAGAAAAGAAAGAAGATAGGCTCTGACAGAATATTTGACCCAAGCCCGGGCATTGGTGGCTCACGCTTGTAAACCTAGTTACTGAGGAGCCAGACAGAGATCAGGAGGATCATAGTTTGAAGACAGCCCAGGCAAATAGCTCACGAGACCCTATCTTGAAAATACCCATCACAAAAAGGACTGACAGAGTGGCTCAAGGTGAAGGCCCTGAGTTCAAGCCCCAATACAAAAAAAAAAAAAAAAATTGACACAGTCAAGGCTAAAGATACTTAGTAAGTTTTTGACTGTTTTTTTTCCTGATTTTTTTCCTTTTCCCCTTAGCTGCAGGTGTACTTTTCCGGAGAATCCAAACAATCATACCCTACAGTACTGGAAGGACCACAACATTGTAACAGCGGAAGTACACTGGGCTAACCTGACTGTCAGTGTAAGTCTGGGAGCTGCCAGATGCCCTAGCATGACCAGGTTTAGGAGGGCTTCTAGGCGGAAGGGGACTAGCCCTTTGCTGAAATCTGGCATTTAAGAAATAAAGTTTTGTTTTTTTTTTTTTTAAACTATTCTTACTGTCTTTTCCCTTTCAAAAGTTTTCTTGTACATAGAAAGGGAAAGACTATCCCTCTCTTCTCCCCCACCCCTCACTCTACCCTATGACTACATTAAGTATATATGGGATAAAACTATGCAGGGCAGGGGCAGACCCAGGTTTTGTGGGGTTTGAAGAGTATTCAAGTTTAGAAAGTTTTTATTAAACAATGTTTAATTTACTAGGGCCTTAGAAGTAGTGTTTGTTCAGGATAGTTCTAGTTTCATTCTTAAGTGTTTTAGTTAGGACTATGGAAGCACATGGTACTTGAAAGAGACCTGCAAATGAGTCTTATCTCCACCCCCAGCTGCAGGGAGTTCAAGTGGATACTGATGGCATCCCGTGCTCCTTAGTAACTGTGAGATGACAGTGGTGGGCTCAGAAGCAGCAAAGCAGCAGCTCTTTATTCCCCTGCCTACCTTTTGTCACTCAGAATGCTTGTTCCTCCAGGAATGCCAGGAGATGCATGGTGAGTTCATTGGATCTGCATGTGGTCATCATGGACCCTACACTCCTGATGTGCTCTTCTGGTCCTGTATTCTCTTCTTCACCACCTTCATCCTCTCAAGCACCTTAAAGACATTTAAGACGAGCCGCTACTTCCCAACACGAGTAGGTAGCATGCTCATGCATTACTTTTGTGTTAGGATTCTGTTCTGTCTTGGCCTCCATGCTGTTGTGGAGTAGATCAGCAGTGTGGAGAGCCCCAGGGCCCTGATGAGCTACACTGTGGCTCTTCTTGTGCCTGCGTCTCTTTCCTACGTCTATGGTATTTAATGAAGATACTTCAACAACGCTTTTTGATTTAAAAGTGCTAGGTAAGCTAAAATGGTAGGAATGCCCTCTAGAAGTTATTGTATCTCATTTCTAGAATGCTGTTAAGTTTTGTTGGCAAAATTCTGGGACACTCAGCATATAAAGCTAGAGCTGGCTTGTACAGATGGTAAATTGGATGGTTGTCTTGGATACTTTAGAGTACCCCAAAGGCTCTCCTAGGGATGGCTCTTATAATAGCTTATAATATTCCTGCAGCAGTTCTGGGACTGTTTGATGCCTCAACAACTGGATGCATCGTTTGTGTCACAAGCAGGGCTTCTACAAGTTCAAGCAGAGCAGAATTGGAGGCTAGGTGTGGAGAAGCTAAATGAGGCAAGGTGTGAGCAGCTTTGGAAGGGAGCTCAACTCTGGAGGAAATGGTAGTTTTTCTGTAAGTGAGGTTTTAATCAGGCACATTTGCATAACAGAGTACCTGAATGAGTTGACTAGATATTTACTGTACAAACATACATAATCAAAACCCATTCTTAGACTTTAGTGATCCTACATAGTAGTTAAGTGGGAATATATTTATAAAGTTCAGTCTTTGTTTCCTGTCTGGACAAGTAGTTAACAAGTGGCTGTTAGGTACTAACTAGTTGTTTAGGCCTGTGCTATGGGGGCTACAAAAGAGGTTCACCAATCAATCTACCAATATATAGGAACAGGAAACACATGAAACAATCAGGTGCCATATGAAATGGTAGTAAGTAGTGGATGCCAACCTAAGACGTAAGTGCCATAGGAGTACAAAGAAGAGAAGGATCACTGGGCTCCAGGATGGCCACGATGTGTTTCATGGTGGGGGGAGGCAAATTCTCAGAGAATTTATATAGCATTTAGGAAAGAACTAACAAAATCATGGATAGGGTGCTGGAAACATTAGATTTCAAGGCTTAGTGAAGTCCAGATAAATTATTAGTGATGCTCTCAACAAGTGTGATGGCACATACTTGTAATCCCATGCTGCTTAGAAAGCAGAGATAAGAGGAGTGAAGTTTGAGGTCAGCCTAGGCAAAGTTAGTGAGACCCGATCTCATAAAACAAACCGGGTGTGGTGGCATACACCTGTGATCTCAGATACTTGGAGGCAGAGTTAGGAGCATGAGACCCTATCTGAAAAACAAGCTAAAAGCAAAAGGACTATGGCTCAAGTAATAGTGCAAGTACTAGGCCCTAAATTCAATCCCCAGTACTGCCAATAAAGAAAGATATATTTTGCTCTGTCTCTGTTGGAAGTTCAGATTAAGGCAGACACAGGTCACTGTCTTATTAAAGGTACACTAAACTATATAGTGGGACAGTCCTCTTAGGATAGGTCTAAAATTGGATGGTAACCCACAACAGAATGGAAATAAGTGCTATGGAAAAAAGTAAAGCAGGAAAGGAATATAGGAAATGCTCGGGCAGTGACCAATTTTAAGTAGGATCATCAGAGATCTCACAGAGAAGGTGGTACTTGAGTAAAGGAGGAGCTACCAAGAGGTTAGCTGGAAGAAAAGCATTTCAGGTAGAAGAATGAATAAACACAAAGACCTGAAGTGGAAATGAACCTGGTTTCTTTAAGAAACAGCTAGGAGGTCTATGTGGCTGGAGCAGAGTGAGTGAGTGGAACAGCATTAGGGAAGGCTCTGGGGAGGGGATGATGCCAGTTGTATGGGCCTCATTGTCAAGAGGGTTTTCAACTCAGCCCTTTCAGGGTTTTGGCAGAGGTATGACATAACCCAGTTTACGGTTTAAATTATTACTTCTGAAGCTGCATTTCAGGAAAATTGTAGAGGGTAAAGGCAGAAGCAAGTTAGGAGGTGGCTACGGTTGCCCCAGCCGAGCTGGTGATGACTCTGCTCTGGGTGGGGAGCGGTAAAGTGGGGAGAGGTGCTGAGATTCTGCACATGTGCTGAAGGTAGGGCCAACAGGACATGTGGATGGACTGGATATTGGATGTGAGGGAGAAGCAGAATTGATACTGCTGCTAAGGTTCTTGGCTGGCACAATGGACAGTGGCTGTTCCCAGAAAATCTTATTCCAAGTTCTCAAAACTAGAGCCTGCACCTGGGCCTAAGTGCCCACGTGGGCCTTGGTAAATTAGAGTTTGTCAGAGTTTATCTCCCATATCATATCCATCTTTTCTGGGATTAATTTGGGTGTACCAATAATTGTTTAAATATGTTTGTATTAGTTCAATTGTTAAATGAAATAATTTTCCTGAGAATTTGTAAATCTTTTAAGTCTTTATAATACTAAATTATTTTCTACTGTAGTTAACTTACTAAGACACCGCTCCAATTCTTTCTCATGGCAGGTGCGCTCCATGGTGAGTGACTTTGCCGTCTTCCTCACCATCCTCACAATGGTGATTATTGATTTTTTGATTGGAGTTCCATCACCAAAGCTTCAAGTTCCCAGTGTATTCAAGGTAAACAGATGTCAGGGTGCTTGGTACCCTCATGTACTTTCATAAATCTGATCCCCAGTTGATTTCAAATCCCAATCATATGATTTCCATATCCCAATTATGAGTTTTGCCATCCTCTAAATCTGAAGCTCGTTCCTCAGACCTTACCATTCAGAAAAGCAAAGTGACTGAGTTCAACTTGGAGCAGTCATAAAACAGAAAATCTAAGGTTGCTTAATGAATAAAAAGAATTGAATAATACTAAAGTATTAAAATGTAACAATAATATGAATACCACTTACTGTTAACATTTAAAATAATAGGGCTGGAGACATGGCTCAAGTGGTAGAGGCCTTTCTACCTAGCAAGTGTGAAGACCTGAGTTCAAACCCCAGTACTACAAAAAGAAAAAAAAAAAAAAAGATTTAAAATAATAGAATGTACCCATTACATAAATATATCCCAAACACTGTGGAAATCTGGGTTCCTGGAGCAAGTTTAGTTAACAGCACCTTCACTGACCAGTAGCTGTTAAAGAGCACTAGGAAAGAGGGGAAAAGTAAAGGACTCAACCCCTCCCCTCAAGGATCTAGGTGTGTAGGATGGGAATGAACCTAGGAGGGACCTCATCTGGAGTCTAGGGCTTCTGGCAGAGTAATCAGGATATCTCTTCAAACCGTATTTTGTGTTTGTTTGCATAGCTATGTAATCTATAGTAGTTTTAAAAAAAAAAACCTATGCAAAAAGTGAAACAAATGATTAATACATAGGGACTCCACATCTTTTCAGTTTGGTGGTACTGAGTAAACAAAGAAGATAGAAAAGTTGAGCTCAATTCCACAGATCCCTATTGGGTAGGAAGGAAAAAAACCTTGGGCACAGTCAGTGGCTTCAGAAGAGTCACAGAGTAAGAGTGGGAGGGGATGGTGAAGAGAAGGCAGGCAAAAGCCTCTTACCACTCCCCCCCACACACACACCCCTGTCCCTGTTCAGTTGGCCTTTGGCTTCCAAAACACCTGGTTAAAAGTATCTTTTTTCCATACTCTCTGATTAATGTTATTAAATTTGTTGAAATACTACCAATTAGAAATTTATGGGTTAACAAACACCCTCTTACAAATATAACACTGCCAAGAATTTGGCATTCTCATTTTGTGAGAATGAGCACAATCAGCTTTCTTGCTAACACCTAGCTGAGGTCAGCCTTGCAGGAAGAATGGATTTTATATAAAAATAAGCAATTTAGGAGCATTAAGCAGTCCTTGGAAGAGTTCCCTGATGGGTAGGTTTTGTATGGTCGGAAAGCACTAGATTTCTAGGACATCTGGGAAGAAGGACTCTGGGAGATAGAAGAGAGATGAGAAAGGGAAATAGAAGAATGTCCAAAAAAAATGTTGCTAATGGCGCTTTGCTTTCAGGAAGCAGAAAGTTTTCTTCTTTTGTTCATTCCTTCCCTAGTAAGCCACATGGCCCCAAAGCTCCCAAGACCCAGTCTGAAGATTAGTGCAATTGTCCCTCTGTACCTGCAGGGGATTGGCTCTGGGACCCCCCCCGGATGTGGATGCTCAAGTTCCTTAAATGAAGTGGTTACTGTTTGCAGTAAAACCTAAAGTATATCTATATACTTTAAATAATCTCTAGATTACTTGTAATACCTAATGCAATGTAAATACTATGTAAATGGTGTTTGTACTGTAGAGCTCAGAGAATACTGTCAAGAAAAAGTCTGTACACAGTCAGTAGATACATTTTTTTTCCCTGAATAACTTCAATCTGTGATTGGTTAAATCTGAAGCTGAGTAACCCACAGGTGTGTGCTATTACTAGGGGTTGTAATGTCATGAATGGTTTAGTAAGTTTTTGGGTTAGTCTGAGAACTTACCACTTAGAACATTGATACTAGGGAAACATAGGTCTGTAAGCTTTTAGAATCTAACCCATTTATAATTTGGAACTTGCCAGTATTATTGAAGAGTTTTTGAAACCTGGAGTCACAGCTAATATCAAACCAAATGCTTCAGATAAAGCAATATTTGCTTTGTTTTTTGAATTTGGGTCAATCCTGGGCCAGATCCCTGGGGCAGGAGGTTGAGGATCTAGAAGAGTTTAGGTATGTCATGAACCCTCCGATAACATTTGTGAATAATTGTCTTACAGGGGCATTGGAGAGGGTCCTAAGCCAGATAGGTCCCCAAGTTTAGCAGTCTTGGGCTTCTGTTTCACTACTGATGGGAGAGGATTGTTGGAGCAATCCAATCTAAACTAAAGAGATGCATGCAACTGACTCCATTTTGCCTTTATTTCTGCTGCAAATACACATTGTATGGCTTCTGGAGAGGAATAGTGAGGAAGACAGTCTACGTTATTTATATTTATTTGTTTTTGGAAGTCATTAATTTTTTGGCAACAGATTTAGTTGTTAATGATATTTTACTTGGGTCGATGATGAGATAAAGTTGCTTTCTCTGTGCACTGGAACTTGAGGAGTAAATGAAAGATAGGATTAATGAATATTCCAAAGAAAAGTTGATAATTAAGGATTGACTGCTTTATACCTTAAAGCAACTGAGGCCAATAGGAAAAGGGGACCAGGAACTAGAGAAAAGGTTAGATCAAAAAGAATTAACCTAGAAGGTAACACCCATGCACAGGAAATCAATGTGAGTCAACTCCCTGTATAGCTATCCTTATCTCAACCAGCAAAACCCCTTGTTCCTTCCTATTATTGCTTATACTCTCTCTACAACAAAATTAGAGATAAGGGCAAAATAGTTTCTGCTGGGTATTGAGGGGGGGGAGCGGGAGGGGGTGGAGTGGGTGGTAAGGGAGGGGGTGGGGGCAGGGGGGAGAAATGAACCAAGCCTTGTATGCACATATGAATAATAAAAGAAAAATGAAAAAAAAAGGATTGACTGCTTTAAAAGGGATTTAGAAAAGAGATCATAGACTTCCTCATGAGTTGTTGTATTTATTTCATGCCTGTTTTCATTTTTTATTTATGTTTTGTTTTGTAGTACTGGATTTTATTTTATTTTTCTTTAATTTTTATTTTATTCATATGTGCATACAATGTTTGGATCATTTCTCCCCCCTTCCCCCACACCCTCCCTTACCACACCCCCACTTCCTCCCTCTCCCCCCCACCCCCTCGATACCCAGCAGAAACTATTCTGCCCTTATCTCTAATTTTGTTGAAGAGAGAGAATAAGCAATAATAGGAAGGACTAAGGGTTTTTGCCAGTTGAGATAAGGATAGCTATACAGGGAGTTGACTCGCATTGATTTCCTATGCATGTGTGTTACCTTCTAAGTTAATTCTTCTTGAACTAACCTTTTCTCTAGTTCCTGGTCCCCCTCTCCTATTGGCCTCAGTTGCCCCACAGTATCTGCTTTAAGTTTCTCTGCGTTGAGGGCAACAAATGCCGTCTAGTTTCTTAGGTTCTTACCTATCCTCATACCTCCCTTGTGTGCTCTCACCTCATCATGTGATCAAAGTCCAATTCCCTTGTTGTGTTTGCCCTTGATCTAATGTCTACATTTGAGGGAGAACATACGATTTTTGGTCTTTTGGGCCGGGCTAACCTCACTCAGAGTGATGTTCTCCAATTCCATCCATTTACCAGTGAATGATAACATTTCGTTCTTCTTCATGGCTGCATAAAATTCCATTGTGTATAGATACCACATTTTCTTAATCCATTCGTCAGTAGTGGGACATCTTGTTCATGCCTGTTTTTAAAAAGAATTCTTATTTAAAAGAGAATAAAAAGAAACATGGAATGTGGTTTAGTTAAATCAGTTTTACCCAAATGACTTACAATTAACTTAAAATACAAAAAACAATATCTTACTTTTTTCCCCTTTAGCCAACAAGGGATGATCGAGGATGGATTATTAGTCCCATTGGCCCCAATCCCTGGTGGACTGTGATAGCTGCGATTATCCCAGCTCTCCTTTGCACAATCTTGATATTCATGGACCAGCAGATCACAGCTGTCATTATTAACAGGAAGGAACATAAGTTGAAGGTAATAAGGCGTTCTGCCCTAGAAGACTGTTATGGTAGCCTATTACATTTTTATTTTAGGGTAAGCCCGTCTATACCAGGAGCTGTTAACCTAGATAAAAGGTGCAGAAGGGACTCATAGGGGGTTTTCATTCTCCTCCCATTAATAACAAAGACTTGTTTGAGATGAGACTAGTGGGAACATGGTGGTGTGATGTGAAAGAAGCTTGTACTCTCTTAATCTTCTCCCAAAATCTATGGGGAGGTAGGGTAGGCAGAGTTCCTGTGGTCTCTACATAGCTACGTGTTCTTAGTCAGTAACTGTACAGCTTGGTCTTCCTAAGGTGCAAGTCAGGGATTGGATCACTGTTTTCCAGAAACAGGTATTCTCCCAGGGTTGTCTTTTATAGGATTCCAGACTCAACTTTGAGCCCAAGGGTTACCAGGTGCTAGGGTTAGTTCTAATACATGTACTAGTGAGATGCTTCATGCTTTCTATCTCTATTCTTTCCTCACCTAGAGTAGGCAATATCCAAATCTGGCAAGGATGTAGGGGGTGTTGTAGGAATTTCAGTAAGAGCATTTATCTCCAACTCTTGTAGGGTCTCCTAGAATGGGTCAGTTGTGGCTTGGTCTCTGGTTACTCTTCAAGAGAAGGATAGATCTTTGAATGTGTGAGACTCAGAATAAGCTGGGGCCACTGGGAAAAGAATGGACACTGGCATACATAGAACAGACTAAGATTTCTCTTTTTCTTTTCTATTCCCTCCCAAACAAAAGGGGTCACAAGACTTCTCTGGAGTCCCTGGACCTCTTCCTTCTTATCTACACCCCTTTCTGCCTTGGGCCTAAGACTTTTACTTAGCTCACTGTTATATACTCCACTATTTCCAGCTCACTGATGGTGACAGATCTCTGTTTCCCCTGCAGAAAGGCTGTGGCTACCACCTGGACCTGCTGATGGTGGCCATCATGCTTGGTGTCTGCTCCATCATGGGCCTGCCTTGGTTTGTGGCTGCAACTGTCCTGTCCATCACACATGTGAACAGCCTCAAGCTGGAATCTGAGTGCTCTGCTCCTGGAGAACAGCCCAAGTTCTTGGGTATCCGAGAGCAGAGAGTGACAGGCCTTATGATCTTTGTGCTGATGGGCTGCTCGGTCTTCATGACAGCTATTTTAAAGGTAATCGTTCATTCACTTCTCAGGCAAATATCAAGTGCCTTTGTGTCAAGAAATTCTTCTAGGTGCTGGGAATATAGTGGCCAAAATAAACAAGATAATTATGGAAAATTAGTAAATAATATAATGGAAATATATAGTGTTCTCTGGTGCTATAGAGAATCAAGGGGTTCTATTTTAGTTAGAGTGGTCAGAGAAAGAAGGTGGTATTTAAAATAAGATAGAGCCAACCCTAGCATAGATGGTGTGAGATAGCATGGAGGGAGGGGAAGAGAGCAGTCAAGTCAGGCTCTAAGGTAGGAAAGGGTGGTATATGTTCTACAAAATGTCAGGGTCTTGTGGCTCAAGATTACTAGCCAAGGCAAGAGCTCAGTAAGAAGAGATGGAAGAGTGGGTAGGGCCAGATCAGGAAGGGCCTTGTCCACACTGGTAAAGGGTTCCTTTGAGGAGTTTTAACAGGAGAGCTGATCCAGTTAGTATTTTAAACAGATCACTCTGATGTCTAGAGGACAAGTTTTAAGGTGAGGGAAGAATAGAAGCAGAGAGACCATCGAGGATATTATAGATGAGAGATGATGATGGCTTGGATGAGAAAGTTGGTGATAAGGGCAGATTAAAAAAGGAATAGCTTCTGTGTATCTTAGAGGCAGATCCAAAGGCCTGATTGGTTGACTGGTGTGGAGAGAGATAGCATGTGTTAACCTGGAGAAGATTGATGTTGATGTTGTGAGGAGTGGAGCTGTGATCAGCATTTGAGTGAGAAGTCTGGAGTCATCTGAGTTAAGAGACTAGAAGAGGGTTCTAGACTCAAATTTGGGAGCCAACAACACATAGATGGCAATGAAAACCAGTGGGATTGATGTGATCGCTTGAGAAAAGGGTAGATTCTAAAGAGAAGAGGGGCCAGAGAAAGAAAGAAGAGCAGAGTTTAGAGGCTGTATTGAGAAGAAGACAGCAACAGAGTCTCAGAAGGAGCTGCCAAGGAGGTAGAAAGAAAACCAGGAAGGGATGGTATCAGGTAAGCCAAGAGAGAGGTGTGTTTCAAGAAGGAGGGACTGGTTAAATGCTGCCTAGGAAGATGAAGACTAAATCAAGGCCATTGAATTTAGCAATATGAAGGCTTAATGTGACTCAACAAGAGAGGATTCAGTGGTTTGCCTTAATTTCTGCTGCCTTCCCATAATTAAGAAGTAGGAACAAAAGCAGAAGCTGACAATGAGAAAGATCACTTTGTACTGAAATGAAATGACTACCTATAAGTTAAATCAGAAGCCTCATAATGTCTGGTGTTTTCTCTTCCCTGGGGATGGGAAGATGGACACTGACACACACACACACACACACACACACACACACACATGCACGCACACACACCCTACCTTTTGTAGAACTAATGCCTTTTAAGTCTTCTGTAATCACAAGCCCTGCATCTGGGAAAATAAGGTGAAAAAAAAAAGCTCTGTGACCATGTTGCCAGGCCCCATCCATCCATTCTGGAGCATTGTCTCCTTGCCTTCTTCCTCCCTCTTTTTTACAAATCTTTAACCACCCCAGCATGCCCTGCAAATGCCTTTTAAAGATGTGAATTGAGAGGATGGCAAAGAATTCTAAACCATATCCTTGTCCCTTTACTTTCCACTCATCCTTACCACCTACCTCTCCTCATGCTCACTTTCTCTACTCTGTCCCCAGCCCTGCTTTCACTCCCTTTCCCAGTCTAGGCCCAAAGGTTGCTGCTCTTCCAAGAATAGAACCACAAGGACCAGGTGGTGGACATTCTCAGAAGGATTCTTTTAGGACAGCATTCAGTAGTTCTACAAACAAGGTTGTGACCAAATTGAGATATCTAGTCATGCTAGACATGCAGAACAACATAATATCCAATGTGCATTTTCTAATTCTGAGAGAAATTATGTTTAGGAATGTTCTTTAGCCCTAGAAAGGAAATTGAGTTTAGTCTTCAGCTGTGAGACTTTCCTCGCCTTCATTCGATATGTCCCATTTCCCTGCCTTAGTTGCTCAGAAGACAGTATCTTGGTTGATAGTCCTACAATGATGGGAAAGTCATAGTGAAGTGTTGTGTGGATATTAAGTTCAATATAAAAATGTATCTCCCCAAATCATTTCCTCTCTACTGCCCTCAAGTCTCTAGTCAGTAAAAAAGAAACTTTTAGTCTTTGTCAAAATATTTCAAATCCCTGAAGAGATGATTGTGACTGCAGAAGATTTAAAAGGGAACAATAAAAGAAAAGTGTATGTGTGTTCATCTTTCCATCTTTCTATTCCCAGGGGGAGGAAGAGCCCAGTGGGTGAGGTGTAAGGTCTGTGATTTAATTTACAGGTAGTCATTTCATTTCAGAACAAAATGATCTTTCTCATTGCCAGCTTCTGCTTTGGCTTCTACTTTTTCATTATGAAAGGCAGAGGAAACTAATGCAGTGTTTATGAAGCTATTTCATGACTTCGTTTCATTCTTGGAGATTTAAAAGTTTAAGTTCTAATCTTTCTGCCCTTTCATCTACAGTTTATTCCGATGCCAGTACTGTATGGCGTTTTCCTCTACATGGGAGTTTCTTCACTACAGGGAATTCAGGTATTGTATACTTCAGCCAGCGCAATGTCTTCTCACTGTGAGGTCACCTGTCTTCACCAGGGAAGGACAGCTCCTCAGGGGAAGCACAATCAATTCTTGAGAAATTATTTCCTAGTCAGGCTGTTTTAGAAACTTCTTCAGATGTGGTAAAATACAGTTGTTTTGAGATGAGAATACAGAGATTTCCGGAGTGGGTTGGCTTGATATTATAGTTCTTCCTAGTCACTTACTGATTTTTTCAGCACTTGTTTAGCATGAATTAAACTCTAGGTGCTTTGCCAAATGCTGGTAAACCTGGATCTCAAAGATCAGTTAAGCCCCAAGATGGCTTTCACACATGGACAACTCAAGGCTTAGTACCAGGCTAAAGTTGTGAGAGAAGGAGTTTAACTTTGAGGGTACCTTGATGAAGAGTCTGGGAATAGTGGGAGTTCTCCTAGGTAAACAGGCATCAGTTTCTGTTGTGCTCTGCTTTCCCCATGTGTCAGCTAATGAGCATTCTTCAGAGTCCTTCACACAGTGAAAACCAAGAGCCACAATCAATAACTTGAGTACCATGGATGATGTATTAACATAGCTTCTTCTGTTGGTGGCTGATTCTTTTTTGTATGGAATGTTGGGTGGTCATTCTTTTATTTAATCTCTGGGTCATCTCTATTTTCCATTTTATAATAAGATGATCATAATTTCTGTATCCACAATGTTAAGAAGTTTCATTTGATCTTTTTACTGTAAATAATCAATGAATAGCTCCAAATCCCCGAAGAACAGGTGTTTGGTAGTAAGCAGAATCAGGCAGTTGGTTTGTCCTGTTTGCCACTTTCCCTGAGAAAGCTCCCTCAGGAACCACACCCAGTATAGAAAATAAGAAAGAAGTTTGATCCTAGAATTAGAGAAGATGGCTTCACATCTTGACTGTCACTTACCAATGCTGGCCAAATTGCCTGTTTTTACTGAGTCTCAGTTTCTATTTCTGGTCAATCAAAACAGTTACCTGCGTTTCAGAGAAGGTGACATAAGACACATAAATGGTCTTCACAAGACTCCTGACCCTCAGAAGCCTCTTGAAAATAAATGCAGGTTCCTTTCTTTCAGTTCTTTGATCGCCTGAAGCTCTTTGGGATGCCTGCAAAGCACCAGCCAGATTTTATCTACCTGCGACACGTGCCATTGCGTAAGGTACACCTCTTCACCTCAT